GCTAGACCCAGCTGTACATAGTGTCCACTTCCTCAATTCTGCCTCACTCTTGGCAATTTCTTTCTGGGGCCCACTTGTCTCTCCTTAGAGCCTATCTTCCTTTCCTTCTTTATTGTTCCTACCATTAAATCTGAATTGCAGCCAAAAGGTTCCTAAAACTTTACAAAGCTGGACCTGTATGTGTCTGCAAACACTTCAAGAGCTAAGAAGTTTCGTGAAAATTTCTGAGAACTAACCTGATTCTCCCCTCTACCTACTCCAATCTCAGATCTGACTACACCAAGATACTCTAACAAATGTACTACATACTTCATAGCAAACACTTAGAAATTAGCTATAACTGTCATCCAGAATTAGATTATCAGTGGTGTGGAGTTCAGAGGACATCTTGTCCCAGGTCAGAGGATATAAAAATGATTTTCTGTTTTTCTTTTGGGTGTTAAAAAAAAATCACATACACCAAATAGTGTGTTTTGCTTCCTTTGAGGTTACCTTTGTGTTATAATATGTTTTTGTTTAAGAGGCACTGTCACTAGGAGAGGTGATTTGTGAGGCAAAAAGCAGGATCCGTTTAAAATTATCTCAGAAGATTTTCTGGCTATTGTCCAACCAGTTCTCTCAAGCTGTGCATAGGTGCAACATTCATTAATAACCTTGGAGAATAAATAACACTGCCAGTTGCAAAATAGGGCCATGTCAAAGTTGATTGATAACTGTATTATAAAGGAACCTCAAAGTGGTGGGTGTGTCCTGGAGATCAGAGAGTGTGGTGTCCTTTTATTTAGAAATTGGGAAAACAAAACAAAACAAAAAACCAAGCACCTGTGAGGCAATTTAGTTTTGTTTAAGTTACAGCAGTTGCAATTTTTTGACACTCATTGTACATTCTTTCTTTTTTTAGATTATGAAACTAACACTGAATCAAGCCAAAGTATTTATTTTTTTTTAAGTTAGGATGAAATTAGTCTATCTAAGTGCCTTTCATTCGATTTTTGTTTTCCTCAGAAAGTCGTATTAATTTATTTGAGTAGCATCAAGTGTTTAAAATAGATGTAATAGTGAAAATCGGTAACTTGAATTAGTGGGAGAGTTTCTGATCAGAAAATCTATAGATAAAATAACAGCATTTAGAAGAGCAAAAATAAAATAACCTAGAGGAGGGAGGTTACCTAGACCTATTCATTGCCCTTACTAATATTTTAAAGGTTATTTCTTATTGTTCATATTTTTCTATCTAAATATTGATACCATACTGCTGAAGTATGTGTGTGTGTGTGTGTGTGTGTGTGTGTGTGTGTGTGTGTGGTGTGTAGGGTGTGTGTGTGTGTCCTGCATTTGCTAACCCAGCCCCTGGGAGAATCTGTCTCACTTTGTTTCATGAGTACCATGGCTACCCCACCCTGTATTAGACTCTTACCGTCAAAGGCAAATGGGCTGAACCATGGGTCTGCATGCAAATGTTAGCAGGTTGGTATTTGAATGGCTGGGACGGAAGACCGTCCTTCCTGGTGTATGTTCTCAGCATGCTTTGGACTCATTGACTTGAGCCAGTCTTCTATGTAATTAAGTCTCTCATCCGAACTTTCTTTTTCTTGCTTTTAGTCAATTTCTTTCCCTTGGTTTTAATCTATCCATTCGATTACCTTGTTCACACTCTGCCAGGTCTCACCGTGGTTGTGTGTGAGTTAGGTTTTCCTAGAGGTCCAGGATGCTAGCTGGAATGGGGATGACTTTTGAAGCTGGGAGAAAAGAGCACAATTATGGAAAGTTTTTGCTGAGTTATCTCCCACCCCCCACTCCACATGCACAGATACCCTGAGGGGCTGGGTCTCCAACTTTCATTAACGATAACCCTAAACTTGAAAAAAAAAATGTTTCTTTTGTCTGATTATTCTTGTAAGAAAGGGAAAAATTTTTGGTAGACCAAATTTATGAAAATCTAGATATGTTGTATATTGTTTTGTTTCTGATCAGTGAGATTTATACAGATTTATAAATTGAAGCAATATCCAATTGCTTACCTTATAACTGTTCCAAAACAATGCAGTGATGTATGACTACTGAATATATGACATTTCTCCAAAATCTCATAATTATTATTTATTTAATTAATGGATATGTTATGTTTGTCAAAAAACTTCTTATTAAAATATTTCACATATGAGATTTATGCAGAGGTTCTGACAAATGAGACATTTGTAATATGATGGAGACAAACTATATTTTTGCTGTATTCATGATCTTGACACTAAATAATTTCACTTTTTAGAAAATCAAAGTGTGCAAAATGGTGGGTTCCTTTCCATATTGGAAGCTATTTTAATTAAGTAGGAAATAACTACATTCTCTTTCATACTTCTTAAAGTCAAATGTAAGTATCCATGATTCTGCTAGGTATAAGATGTCTCTTTCTGACTAAATTAACTTTTAGTTCGTGCAATATAATTATTATTACATGTAACAAACATTGTTAATTATAGCACAATAATAAGTGTTATTTCAAGCTACACATAACAAATTTTTATATGTTAGGGTGTGTGAAAAGGGCCTGATTTTTATTAGTATTAAGGAATCACTCTTTACTGACTTTTATGAAGTATGATACGCAATGGAACTGAAAGATATTTATTTTTTATCTTTATACTTTATTTCTTATGTATATTGGAATATAGTTAAATAAGCTCATAATAATTACTAATACAACATATTAAAATATTTTTAAGGATAGAGCCATCATTATTTAACTACCCAGAGTATAAGGTACAATTTCTCTACAAAATTTAATTCAAATATTACCCCACTCTGTCCTGTTCTGTGCATATTACTTTCCTCTGTGGAATGCTGCCTGTAATATATGAAGTGTTTGTTTTATCTATTTGTCTTCCTGACTGACATACGAGCTCTCCTGAGACAAGAACTGTGTTTTTGTGTGGCACTGTTCCTAGTACAAAGTGGGCCTTTGATATAGTTGTTGAATTAAACTGTGTCATGAGGGGCTTTAGTCTGACCCATATAATCTGACCCAAAGATATTTAAAGCAGAGAAGAAATTAAATAAAAGGGAAATGATTCCTCAGTATTAATATGTAGGAGAATTAGATATAAAGTCTAGCTTTGCAAAGTTTGTAGAGTTTTCTAAACATTTGAGGTGAACATTTAAAAAATTTATATTTAAATAATATGCCAATCTAAGACAATAATAGGAAGCCTTTGCTTCCCCAATAGTCTGGGTTATGGTATGTCAGAGACAGTTTTTGTGGGTTGTTGTGTGTGTGTGTGTGTGTGTGTGTGTGTTGTTGTTGTTGTTGTTGTTGTTATTAATCCTTACCCAAGGATATTTTTCCATTGATTTCTTAGAGAGAGTGGAAGGGAGGGGAAGAAACAGAGAGAAACATTGATGTGAGAGAGACACATCAATTGGTTGCCTCCCACATGTGTCCCGACCAGGGCCAGCTTGCAACCAAGGTATATGCCCTTGACCAGAATCGAACCCAGGACTCTTCAGTCTGCAGGCCAAAACATTATCTATTGAGCCAAACCAGCTAGGGATCAGAAACAGTTTTGTTTATAGGGGAGAGGATGCTAAATCTGGGTTTATATGCTGACACCACCATTCTGAATATTCCTGGGAAATTCGTTTATTCATTGGCTTCACTTTCCTTACTGAAATAAGTAAATCTTTTCTTGTTAAAACCCACTACATCTAATTGTTGGGAAATTAAATGAGATGATACATAAAAGGGCTTTTATAAATTTTAATGTGCTCAACAGATAGATGTAAGCTGATGTTATAGTCTGGGAAACTACATACTCAGCAAACTCTTGCTAGACCTTCACTTTTTCTGTGGCCATGGTCAGGTCTATCTTGGATGGATTCTAACTGCTGTGTATGATGCCCAGCATCCTGCCACTGAAACCTATTGTTGGTTGTGGCAGTTAATATGTTTTATGTTTGATTGTGGAATGCCATAAATGTGTCCATTTTTTACATTGTCTACAGGTGTGTTGTTTTTATAGACAGCTTTTAAAGAAAATATTTTTAAAATTAATTTCAAAGGGAGAGGGAGAAGGGAAGAGCGAGAGAAACACACCACCTATTGGGGGCCAAGCCTGCAAGCCAGGCATGTAACTCAACCAGTAATCGAACCATGACCTCCTGGTTCATAGGTCAACACTCAACCACTGAGTCATGCTGGCTGGACCTGTGCAGGTTTTTTATATGTCCAAATAATTTCAGTTTTATTCAACTTGAATTTACTTTTCTAAGTAGATCAAATAATAATAAAAATAACTTATTAGAAAATCTTATTATTATAGAGAAAACTATGTTCTACTGTATTTTTTGAAATAGAAAACGTGAAGTCACTAACCCTAATGTCCCAAAGTTCCCCCCAAATTAGGAACTCCTGATAGAGGCTAACTTCAAATGGGATCATTTGGCCAAGCAGGCAGGGACTTGTTAAGCCCATTTGAGCACCTAATAATAGGTGCTGCCTTAGATGGAATCCTTCAGATCTTTGAGAATTTGATTCCGTTTAAAGTGTCTGATCTGTCAAGCTAGAAAATTGAGAACCATCTTAAAATCACCAGGTCAAAAGTTTTAGGTTGAGCAATATCTCCATAAATAGAAATGTTTTATGTCCACATAGAATGTTCTGTTTAAAGAAAACTTGACGTAAGTTCATGGAACAAACTCTACCTGCCCTTTATGTTTAGAATTTGTTTTGCCCAAGAATTTGTCAGCTTTTATTTAAATATTAGACGTGGAAGTATACTTCAAGTAGGATTTTTTTTTTTTTTTGCAAGAACAGCTTTGAGGAAGTAGGCTATCAATCTGCCCTGTGTAATCCCATTTCCATATCCTCTCCAAGAGGATAAGAGCTAAGTAAATATAGGTTCATTTAAAATTATATGAAAATGTTTGCTTAACACCACCTTTCTGGAATGGAAAATGTCAAATTGTTGGACTTATTTCTACTTTTCCCTTTTCTTTCCCTTAAGGAGAATGGTATTGAACTCTTGAATTCTGAGAGCCTGCCACAGTCCAGGTTTGCCTTCTCTGTTGTATGTGTGTGAATTTGTATGCCTTTCAATTAATTTTTGAGAGATTTCTTTGAACCTGACATCTCAAAATATTTCTTCCACTCTTTTGGCAGAGATCATACCACACTGTCGTCTCCTGGACACACGTCATCCTCTGAGAGTACTGTAACTTCAAGTGGTGAGTGGACTCGGAAAAGATATCACCATAGAGTGTTAGTATTACAACTGTGAGCTTGATGTCCTGTGACCTGCTGACATGTGTGCAAATGAGAAGAACATAGGCAAATACTTTTGCATAGTATTCGTGCTCTTAGTTTCTTCCTGTTGATAGATTCTGGGTCAGAAACTTTGAATAAGGGTTCTGGTTACCTTGCTTGTAAATTACTCTGTGAGAAAAAGAAGGATAGATCAGATTCTATGATAAAAGTCAAAGGTAAGCTCTTAAAGGGATCAAGTATGGTTTCTAACCTGAAACACTAAGCAGACCTATAAGCTAGTAGAGTAACTGTTCTCAGTTGCATTATTTTTTTTAAAGAATTTGGAGACTTAGTGTAGAGAAATTAAGTCCAAGAGATGACTATTGCCTTTACTATGGTAATGTTACCAACCTCCCCACCCCCAATTTTGTATATAAAACTAAAATTAAAATATATTCAATAAAATTTTCTTTATGGCAGAGATTGATTAGCCACAACTGGGTCTCAACTTTGGCTCAGATGTAGAATCTGAGCCAAAGGTAATTCCAGAACCCTAATTAGAATCTATTAGGTTACGAGATAGAGCGTTAGTGATGGTCCATTCAGGAGGCAAAAGAACTAACTAGATGACATGTTAGATTCTTTCTGCCACTCGACTCTGAAAACAAAGTAGTTATTATCTACCATTCCCAATGAGACACCACTTACTGTAAATATTATGGAGGGGAATTTGCCAATATGTACCAAAATGTTAAAGGTGCATATCTTGTGATAAAACAATTTGATTTCAGGGAATTTATTCTATAGATCTATAAGTACACACATACAATATGACATATATGAATTTTATTTTCTGTATTGTCTGTAATAAAAAATATTGAAAACAAGTTAACTATCAGTAAGATAGAATACTACTTAATATATTTTGACATGTAATGAAATATGGATCCATAAAACATATATAAGGAACCTGTTTTCTTGGAAGGTTAGCAAAGAACTATGTTTCTTGAAAAAGGAAACCACACACACTAATAATTATGTATTACATGTAAAAATTTGTTAAAAAAAAAAAAAAAAAAAGAAAGAAAAAGAAAAGCCGAAACCGTTTTGGCTCAATGGTAGAGCATTGGTCTGCAGACTGAAAGGTCCCGGTCAAGGGCATGTACATTGGTTGCGGGCACATCCCCGGTGGGGGGGATGCAGGAGGCAGCTGGTCGATGTTTCTCTCTCATCGACGTTTCTCGCTCTCTCCTTCTCTTTGTAAAAAAATCAATAAAATATATTTAAAAAAAGGAAAAGAAAGAGAAAAAAGTTTTTATGTATGTATAAAATATCTTTGGAAGGGTAGATAAACAAACAGGTTTCTGTATGGCATGTGAAACATTTTACATTTTTAAATGAATGGACCATATAAATCTATTATCTGTCTTAAAATTTAAATGAATATGAAAATAAAATTTCCATAGGGAAAAATATATATCTCTGAAGGAAGTGTTTACCATTTTGTTCTTATTTTCATAAAAATTTGAAAATATAACACATTCTTCAACTATTTTTTTTTCTTAAAAAGAAAGAAACAAAACCTACCTATAGCTGTTAACTGTTATGCCTACACTGAGCTAAATTCAGGACAATGGATCCTCTGAAGAGGAAAATCATTAAGTACATTACAATGAAAATAAAGTACACAAAAATAAAGGGAAATTACAAAAAGGAATGGCATAATTTAAAAGTCCTCTTCTTAGTTTGATGATATTTTATTTAGAGAGATACATATTTTAGAAGGCTATCTTTTGTTATCAGCCTTAGGTATGTAATTTTAAGAAACCTGTTTGTCAGGCTATAAAAAAGCTACTAAGCTACTAATTGCCCATCCTTCCTTCATCCAGTTTCTATAATTATACTAGTAATGTGTTTGTTTTTTAACAAAGCAGCAGCAGCCTTTAAAAAGATATTAAAATCTGGAGAATTTGAAGGTCATTTATACAGATGTTAATTTCTACTATTATATTGCTAGCTTCCTTGGGAATCTCAGCTTCTCTAGTATTGATTTTTGAATCAATGGACACTGTTAAAGTTATGCAGTATGAATTTGTCTAACACGTTAAAACTTGTGCTACTCACTAGTCTGCTCATATTGCCACCCTCACTATTTCTTCCTCTTTTATTTGATACAGCTCCACAACTGTTAAGTGTGTGTTCTTTTTCTCATAGACACAAGTCCGGATCACGAGAATATTGCACTCCAAAGCTCTGTGAATGAGAACAAAACCATGTTAAATCTGGTAAGGAAATACACATGAGTTAACAATGAAAGTCATGAAATATTACAGTGGTGGAACTGTTCCTTTAAGTTTGCAAAATACTCTTGAAAGCACTATCTCATTTTCTCCTTTCAAAATATCATGGGGTTAGAAGAATGTGATTATATGAATATTTTATAAAGAAGGTGAGGCCAAAGCATCCCTGTGACTTGTCCCAGTTCACACAGCAGAGTCTTTAATTCACTCATTTATTCTTCAAAGGTCTACTGAAAATAAGCCCAATATTCATCAGTAGAGGACTTTTAAAATAAGTGAAGGCACTAATAAACAAGGTTGAATAAAACACTGATAACTATCTTAAAGATATGTTCTAATTAGGGAAAGAAGTGACTCCATAATTAGAGTGTGATTAGTGATGTGAAATGAAAATGCTTGGGGTGAGAGGCCAAAAGCAATGTCATGGTGGAGATATGAACACAATAATGTGAGAAGAGGGAGAGAGTAAGAAGAGGTGAATTTGTGGGGTAAAAAAGATCAGTTAGAAATAAAGTTTCAGGCCAATGTGAGGCATCAGTAGTTTGTAAGGAGATTTTACATGAGACTATAAACCCATTTTCTTAAATTGCCAATGGAACTTTTAGAAACAGATACATACTTGTGAGTTATCAGCAAAGAACCAAGTATATGGATAAGATTCCCCAAGGATTTAGCAGTCAGGAAGAGAGCACTGAGGATAATTAACTCCCAGTGATTCCATTTTCTAATATGAGAGGGCAATGCAGAGGAGTCTAAGGAGAAGGTGTAGTGATGGGGAGATGTTGGGAGAGCAGAACCAAGGGGAGAGACATCTTCAAGAAAGAGGGGATAATGGATTGTCTTAGATGCCACAGTGAAGTCAAATAAGACAAAGACTGGAGAATATCCATTGGTTTGGCAGAAGGGAGTTCACTGTTAACAGAGAGAGCAGTTTTCTTGGTGTGTTGGATATGGGAACAGAGCAGTTCATTGTTGACAGATGGGACACAAAGAACTGGAAACAAAACCATGGACAACTCCTCCCAGAAGTGTGAATATGAAGGTCAGGAGAGGGAGAAAGTGACATAGCTGGAAGAGGTCATGGGGTTGAATGAGGATTCAAAAAACTGGAGAATATTTAAATGTTGACAAGAATGATCCAGTACTTTACCTGTAGTGTTGCAATTGTTCCATTTTATTGGTCTTAGTTTCAACTGCCTTAAAATTTCATGATACGGTTATCAATGGCTCTACCAAGGACATTTGACTTGGACTTATTTTTATGGAAAATTTCTAAGAATGTTGAATTATTGTTATCCTAAAATGATTGTATACCTACAGCTTTCCCATTAGATTGCCCAGGCAGTGCACTAGAACCCACTTATTATGGAGATTCTTGTTGTATAGATACATTTGTAAGATAGTTGATCAGTAACCTTCAAATAAATTCATACGGAGTAAAAGCCGAACAGCACAATCTTGGCTGTTATTTTTGCCGTAGTTTCTCCACTATCCATTGCATGCGATAGTCCTAGAACAAACCCCTTTTCCCTCATCATCCATCCTCTCCGACCTCTCCATCAGGCTTTGGCATCAGAAACTTCCCATGGTACTCGGGCCATCACGTCTCTCTTCTTCCCCTGCCATGCACCTACTTGTCTAGATCCCATTTATTTAGCCATTCATCCTAGTTTGCTTTGTGGTAACTTGTATCCTGTTTGCAGCTTTTCCTATATTTCTGTCCTTCGTGCTGCAACTAGATTGGAAACCCCCCTGGAGCAGTCCTGTCTCTTCTTTAACCCTAGGACAGTTTAATGTGTTGAGTTAGTTTTTTTGTGTTTTTTTTTTCTTTTTTTTTTTCTTTTTAGTGTTTTGACCAGGTAGGGTTAGGGGAGGACAGGAAGTTGGTTATAAAGGCTACCCACTTTATGTTCAACCATAAAATCTCTTTATTATTTTAGGAAGCCAAAGAGGAAACAAAAACAATAGATGATCCTAGAAAAGAATGTGTCGCAGGAGGTAAGGAATGTTCTCTCTGAACCCCCATGTGAACTTTGTTCCCCTGCCTGGCATGTCTATGGGTGAAATTTTTCTGAGTACAGATGTGGCATCTACACATTGTGCATCACTAGATAAAATTAGCCAATAAAACTGATTCTTTTTTTTAAAAAAATTTCTTTATTGATTAAGGTATTCCATATGTGTCCTCATCTCTCCATTAACTCCCAAGCCCTCCACACTCATGTCCTCACCCCCTGGTGATCATGTCCATTGGTGAGGCTTATATTCATGTATACAAGTCCTTTGGCTGATCTCCTTTCACCCACCCTCTTCTAGCTTCCCTCTGAGGTCTGTCAGTCTGATCGATGCTTCTCTGCCTCTGGATCTGTCCCTGTTCATCAACTTATGTTGTTCATTATGAACTGATTCTTGATTCCATTTGTATTGTTTTTAGAAAGTCACATTCATGTTGCCACTGATTGTTAGACCCCAGAGGACTACTGCCCTGTTGTGGCCTAAGGACCATGCCAATGTTGGGAGTAAATTCTAAAAGTACACAAGCCAGTATTTAAAGAGCAAGTGCTCTAAGCTTCCCTCCCCATTGCACCTTTAATGGGAGGGAGTAGTGGACAGAATTCAGGCGTTGGGGTCACACAGACTTTGTACTGGGTCAGTCTCTGACTAGCTTTGACTTTGGGAAGTTATTTAATTTGAGACTTAATTTCCTCACCTGAAAAATAGAAAAGATGAGTAAAAAAATATCCTTTATTGAGAGCATTCTATATAAATTCTTTATGTACATAGTTTTATTTAGGTCTCCCAAATATCTATGTGTGGTAGGTAAGCTGTGATTCGGTTTCCTAGTCTGTGAACTATAGATAATAACTATCTGTGAACTGTAGATAATAATCTACCACATACATTATAGTATGAGGATTGAATAAATTATGTTTGAAGCACTTAGAAAAGTGTTAGGCCGAGAAGTTTCCATACAAGTTAGCTACTATAGAACAATAATATCATCCTTTTTTGGTCAATGCTCTGATGAAGTTGTTAGTTTTCCTCCTTGCGAAGTCGTCGTTAAGAGTGTCGCTAGTACACATAAAGAGCTTTGCGTGGGACTGGCATGTAGTAAACCTGTGATTGAATGGTTGAGACCATCTGTATCATTGATGTTACTGTGATCAGTATTGTTATTATTATTACACTATTATTATCTGTACTACTAGTACTGCGATCACTATTACTCTTGCTGCTGCTTTCTAACTTTGCTATGAAAAAGAAGCAGGGCACCAGAGGAAGGTAGGCATTTAGCCACAGATCAAGGCAGCCAAACATTCACATGCAGAGAGAAAAACTGAGCTGTCACTCGATTCAAAGACTATTCATTCACATGCTGAGTGAACAGCATAGCATAACATTAAGCTCTGTTTCAGCAAATGCATTATTAGCTAGCTATCATCTCAGACTTACTTCGATGAGACACCTTTGTTTAGTGAAGAGAGGATATGGCATTTTATGGAGTGAGCCTTTAGCCGTTGCTGTTAATAAGCCTTTTTAACCAAATAATACCTTACTGTCTTTTAATAGACGCTGCTGTTTCCTCTGCTCCTGTAACCACTGTGAAATTGGTTAACTTTAAACAAAGTGACAAGTAAGCTCTTCTTCACATAGCATGCTAACGTTGTTTTGCTTTTCCGTTGAATTGTGTTTGAATACGTTCTTTGTCTTATCCTATAGCATTTCTGCAAATGAGAAGGAGGTAGAGGTGAGTTTAAATATTTTTTTATTTCCATTTTTAAAAAGTGTTTCAGACTCACTTGTGTATAGTCGCTTCATGCTTTTGCACAGCTGTCCTACGCTTGGTAATGACCAAGTGCAGGTAAAGTCTATGTGTGCCAACACTGTGTTGCTGAGAAGAGAAAGAAATGCCTCAGTATAATTCAGTATTGAACTGAGATATTTGACGACATCCAATTTTCTCCCTTCGCCCTCCTGTTATTTTGACAACAGGCCGAATTTCTCAGATTATCTTTGGGATTTAAGTGTGACTGGTTCACCTTAGAGAAAAGACTGAAGCTTGAAGAAAGAACCCGTGACTTGGCAGAAGAAAATCTGAAGAGAGAAATCACTAACTGTGTGAAGCTGTTGGAGGTAAGAATCACATCTGGGGACTGTGTAATGTTTTCAAAATGACATAGGAGTTTACTTATTTGACTGAAGCTAACACCAAGGACCAAGCACTCCCAGGGTGAGTTAGTAGGAGGTAAAAATTCAGAATAAGGATAAAATAAAATTTAAAAAAAGATTCAATAATAGGAAAGCATAATAAACAAACAATACATGCCTTTTAAATTGATCCTATAAGTTATCAAACAAAAAAACTGAGAAATAGGAGATAATATCAATTTTTATATTCAAAGAAAAGAATCAAAAGTCTATTTCTATTTAAGTAACTAAAAATGAAAAACAGAGAGAAAATGGGTCTCATCAGATGGTGGGCAAGCCCTCTGTAAGGTTGCAGAGCAGTGTAACAGCTACTATTCTTCCATCTTGGGAAGTCACCATAAATATTAAGATGGATTGGGAAATTAAGAGGGCTAACTGTGGGAAAGAAAAATAAAAGTTTAGAAACCATATTCTAAATTTTTTTATTGTGGTAAAAGACACATAACAAAATTTACCACGTTAACCATTTTAAGTGTACAGAAGTGTTATCCATATTTACATTGTTGTGAATAGATGTTCAACTCTCCCTACCCCCTCTTCTCAGCCTCATTTAGTTTATTTATTTATTGATGGACAATTGGGTTGCCTCTACCTCTTGGCTATTGTGGACATTGTTGCTATGAACAAGGGTGTGTAAATATCTCTTTGAGATCACTGCTTTTAGTTATTTTAGAAATATTCCCAGAAGTGAGATTGCTGGATCATATGGAGTTCGAGTTTTACGTTTTTTGAGGAGCAACCATATTGTTTTACATAGTGGTTACACCATTTTACAATTCTACCAGCATTGCACAAAGGTTCCAATTTCTTCACAACGTGACCAACAGGTTATTATATATATTTTTTTCATGGTAGCCATCCTAATGGGTGCAAGGTAGTATCTCATTGTGGCTTTTTATTTGCCTTTCCCTGGTGATTAGGTTTGTTGAGCATCTTTTCATATGCTTTTTGGCCATTTGGGTATCATCTGGTCAAGGGCATGTACTTTGGTTGTGGGCACATCCCCAGTAGTGGGTGTGCAAGAGGTGGCTGATCGATGATTCTCTTTCATCGATGTTTCTAACTCTCTATCCCTCTCTCTTTCTCTTTGTAAAAAAAATCAATAAAATGTATTAAAAAAATGTGTGATTTTCAAATACTTTCTCCTATTCTATATTTTACTCTATCCTTTGATGCACAAGCGTTTTTCAGTTTGATGTATCACTATTGGTCTATTTTTGCTTTTGTTGCCTGTGCTTTTGGTGTCATATCCAAGCAATCATTGTCAAATCCAACGTCATTAATCTCTATCCTATATTTTCTTCTAGAATTACATAGTTTTGGGTTTTTAATACATTTTAAGTTGATTTTTATATATAATGTGAGAGTCCCACTTCACTTTTTGCATCTGGCTATTTATTTTTTCCAACATCATTTGTTGAAGAGTCAGTCTGTTCCTCATTGTGTACTCTTGGAACCATTGCCAAAGATAATTTGACCACATATGTGTACATAAGTTTATTTCTGGGCACTCTATTCTGCTCCAGTGATCTATGTGTTTGTCTTTATGCCAGTACAATTTTGATTACTTTGGCTTTGTAATGTTTTGAAAGCATAAAGTACGAGTCCTCCAAGTTCTTTTTTTAAAAAAATATATTTTATTGATTTATTACAGAGAGGAAAAGAGAGGGATAGAGAGTTAGAAACATCGATGAGAGAGAGTCATCGACAGGTTGCCTCTTGCACACCCCCTACTGGAGGTGTGCCCACAACCAAGGTACATGCCCTTGACCGGAATCGAACCCGAGACCCTTGAGTCCTCAGGCTGACGCTCTATCCACTGAGCCAAACCGGTTTTGGCCCTTTTTTTTTTTTTTTTAAAGTTGTTTTGGCTATTTGGGGCCTTTTGAGATTCCATATGAATTTTGGATGAATTTTTCAATTTCTGCAAAACATTCCATTGAGATTTTAATAGAGATTGCATTAAATCTGTAGACTGATTTTGGTAGTATGGACATCTTGATGAATTGAAGTCTTCCAATTCATGATGCAGGATGTCTTTATTTATGTTTCTTTAGTTTCTTTCAGCAGTGTTTTGCAGTTTTTAGTGTACAAATCTTTACCACCTTGGTAAGATTTATTCCTAAGTATTTTGTTCTCTGTGGTGCTATTGCAAATGAAATTATTTTCTTAATTTCATTTTTTATTGTTCACTAGAGGCGTGGTGCATGACATTCATGCACTGGAGGAGGGCAGTCCCTCAGCTTGCCTGTATCCTCTTGTAGTCCAGGACCCTTTGGGGATAAACACTGAGGGGTCCTTAACACTGTGGTGGAGGCAGGAGAGGCTCCTGACACTGCTGCTGTGCTCCCCAGCCATGAGCCTGGCTTCTGGCTGAGTGGTGCTCCCCCTGTGGGAGTGCACTGACCACCAGGGGGCAGCTCCTGCATTAAGCATCTCTCCCCTGGTGGTCAGTGAATGTCATAGCAACATAACATTCTGCCATTCAGTTGATTTGCATATTAGGGTTTTATTTTTATTTATTTATTTACTTTACTCTTTTTTTATTAAATTATTATAGGGTTTTATTATATAGGATCGTTAGTGTATATAAATGCACTTAGTTTTTGTATGTTGATTTGTATCCTACAACTTTGCTAAATTCATTTATTCTAACAGTCTTTTGTGGAATCTTTGGGGTTATATTACAGAAATAATTTTACTCCTTCCTCTCCAATGTGGCATTTTATTTTTTTCACTTGCCTAATTGCTCTGGCAAGGACTTTCAGTACTAAATGCATTGAAGTGGTGAGAGTGGGCATCTTGCTTTGTTTCTGATCTTATAAGAAAAAAAATTGTATTTCACCATTGAATATTATGTTAGCTGATGGCTTTTCATCTATGGCCTTTATTATATTGAGGTATAGTTTCCTTTTATTTCTAGGGGTTTTTTTAAACTGTTTTTATTATGAAGGGTGTTAAGTCTTGTCAAATATTTCTCTGCAATAATTTAGATGATAATGCAGTTTTATCTTTTAATCTCTTAATATGGTCTATTGCATCAATTGATTATTATATGTGAAACCATCCTTTATTCCAAGAACAAATCTTACTTGGCCATATAGGAACAACCCTTTTTAATGTGCTGTTGAATTTAGTTTGTTGATATTTTGTTGAGAATGTTTAAATAAGTATTCATAAAGGAATATTTAATTTTCTTGTAGTCTGGCTTTGGTATTAGTATAATAATACTGGCTATAAAGAATTTTCTTGTAAGTATTCCTTCCTCTTTAATTTTTTGGAAGAGTTTCAGAAGGATTGGTATTAATTCTTTAGTTGTTTGGTAGAATTCTACAGTAAAGCCTGGTACTGGACTTTGTTTTGTTGGGATATTTTGATATCTCTTCATCTCCTTACTGGTTATTGATTTGTTCAAATAGTCTATTTCTTCATGATTCAGTTTTGTTAAACCATTTCCATTGGCTGAGAACTAATATCTGCTCTTCCCTTCACGATTAAGGTTTTTTTTAAACTACCAAGGAAATTGCTAATGGCTATTCCAATTGATTAGCTACTCATACATATCTGTCTGCTTCAGAAGTGTCTGCCATTCATTGAACACCTACTTTGTGACAAACAACTGGCATCTATTACCTCTCGTGTCACAGTATTCCTGGAAAATGATATAATTGTCTTTTCCTGACAGATGAGGAAATAGTAAATCAGAAAGTTTAACACTGTAACCTTTCTATTATAGAATTAGGGTGCAATTTACAGTCAATAGTACCTTATAATTTTATGGGCAGAACTTTTTCTTTCTTTGCTATACAAAGTGTATGGTGTTTTAGATTGGGGCAAGTCTTCAAAATGTGCTCATGATCACATATAATAGCTACGGAGCAGTAGCTTGTTGGCTCCCAAACTTGCTATTCTTAAATCTGTTCCCACCCCAGTGAGAAGAATGGTCCTCCAAGAGGAAGGCCATCATGTTGGATGAAGGGCACAGGTTTGAGAGAAATATTCATATGGCAATGAAGGCATACCCACCTAATCAGCCCAGTTGCTTTGTCATCAATGGAAGAGCAAGCGAAGTAGTCAGAACCATATCTAATTTCAGTATACTTCCATTATTTTTCTTAAAAGTCAAACTATGCTCCTCAGATAATATACTCAACTCATTTATAAGCATATGTCTTTACCATTACCAATAATGCCCATTCCATTTTAGAAGAAAAATATAAATATGCATAAAGGTGGGGCAAATTTGAGAATTAAGAAGGGATCAAGAATAGACATAGAAGGCTTTGTGAGCCCCTGCATAGGTCTATTTGATAGCCAATGAAAGTATTCATATTTCAGTATCTTTCATTATTGGTCTTAGCAGTTCTTTTCATTCTTTACCAGGAAAATTGAGATTTGATTGTTGTCTGTTTTTACAATATAGTGTTAGGATCGCTTGCTGGATTTGGGGCTTGGATGCTTCCTAATGCCTTGCTTTCTGTGCAGTTGTTAACACCTCTTTGTGAAGAGGACAGCCAGGCCCAAGAGATCATCAAGAAGCTGGAGAACAGTATAACGTTCCTCAGACAGTGCACACTACGAGTGGCCAGTAGGGCTGAGATGTTGGGAGCCATTAATCAGGTAATCTTTTTTTATTTCTGTAGTTATAATAATTACTAAAATGATTATTTTCCCTTAAATTATAGATTATATTTCTAAGAATAAGTTTTAGAAAACTCTTCTTTATTGTATAAGACATATATGTTTAATACTGAAAATGAAAAATGGCATATGTGAATAAAAATGTAAAAGAGAATATCTCATAATAGGATTAACCAGTGACAGTCATTATAAAAATTTTGTTATAATTTTTTAGACCCTGCCTTCATACAGTGTTATAATCTGCTTCTTTTCACTCGCCATATAGCTCAGATAGCTTTCTATGTGGTATAAATTCATGTCATTATTTTATGATTTGGTTGAATATATCATAAGTTACTTAACCAATCCCCTATATTTGGTCATTTCAGGATATGCTTGATATTTTGTTCTTGTAAACACTACTATAATAAATATCCTCATATATTCCGCTTTGCACACTTATTCATAGAGAAATAGAATTTCAAATTTTCTTGTGGGAAAATGTAGGAGAATTTTAATTTTTGTAATCTATACTTAAACAAATTTATTAAAATATATTTTCCTAAGAAGTAGAAATTCAAATGTAGAGATATTTTTAGTTTGATCATTTGTTATATACTTTTAATATCGTATTTCCTTTTCTCCTCACTATATAATAATATTGTTTTATTTATATTAAAGTTATGTATACATAGTTTTAAAAAGTTAAGTAGTTTTCCTGGCCAGTGTGGCTCATTGGTTGAGCATCAACACATGCCTCAGAAGGTCACAGGTTTGATTCCCAGTCAGGGCATATGCCTAGGTTGCTGGCTTAATCCCCATTATGCAGGAGGCAGCCGATTGATGTTGATGTTTCTATCTCATCACTGTTTCTCTCGCTCCCTCTCCCTTCCTCTCTTTCTAAAACAAAAATAAAAAGTTAAGTAGTTCTATTAAGGCTTATTATCCCATACTCTACATTAAAGAGAAATCTCTTTCAACTCTTTGGCTTTTTTAAAAATTTATATCTGTATCTCTAACATTAGACCTATATACTGATTAGCTCTCTTGAAATTCAGTATCATAAACTTCATGTGGGTCCATAGGGCTTCCCTTGTTTCACCCTCCCTCTCTTCTAAGTATCAGCTTCACACTTTTCCTTAAACAAGCTAGGATGTTGCGTTGAAGTGCTCTTAATGACAGCAGTTCTAGGACCCTCATCTTGGGATGTTAGATTCCTTCGAGAAATACCTTTTAGCCACCTGCCTTGAGGTATAAGCCTGGTTATCAGTGTTTCGAGCTTGAAGGGAGAATAAGGCTAGGGATCTCATTATTCAGTATGTATACAGACTTTTGCTTACATCCATTCATGTTAGGATGAACCTCCACCAACTATCTCTTCCTACCCGACCCACAGACCCTCTTTATTCAGTCTTTGTAGTTGAGTAAGGGAGGGCATCTTGGATCTAATCACTTTTTACATGGATTGTCAGCCATTTCTTCTGTTCACATTTCCACCTTGGAGTTTAATCTCAGAGATGCCATTATACCCTGGTCCTTTAGCACTTTCCTAGGTTGCTTCTAGACTTTTCTTCCTGCTTATTTTAGGGTTCAGCTTTTTCACATCTTAGTCATTTACCAAGAGTTGTTCTAGCGGGCTTTCAAATTTGTATTGCTATTATATCTTCTGTTTCATTTGCTCTGGTGGACTCAGGCCTTTTTTTTTTTTTTTTTTTTTTAAATAGAAGTAACTTTGTTGGCATTTTAGTGGGGTTTAGGGATAAAGAAATATGAATGTTTCTAATTACCATCTTTTAACTGGGTATCAAGAATAGTATTTTCAATACGAATGTGTTTCTTTTTCTTTTTTCTTCTACTAGGAAAGCCGGGTTAGCAAAGCAGTTGAAGTAATGATTCAGCATGTAGAAAATCTGAAGAGAATGTATGCCAAAGAACACGCTGAATTAGAAGAACTGAAACAGGTTCTTTTGCAAAATGAAAGGTCTTTTAACCCTCTGGAAGATGAAGGTAATACAAATTTAAGATAATAGTGCCAGTTATGTTTTCCTAACATTTATCTTTTTCATTCTCTCTCTTGCTACTTGTTAGGTCTTAAGTTAAAGTTATATTAAAAGAATAACTCATTCCTGTCATCTGCATAGCCAAAAGTAGGATGTCAGTTAAATAACAGGCTGGAGACAAGGATTTTGATAATGACATAAAAAATTTCATTAAATCTATCCTGAATGGTGTTGCTCAGTGGGTTGAACACCATCCCGTGCACCGAAAAGTTGCTGGTTTGATTCCTGGTCAGAACATATGCCTGGATTGCAGGCTCAATTCCCAGTGTGTGTGTGTGTGTGGGGGGGGGGGGGGGGGAAGGGAGGTGGGGGGGGTTATGTGTGTGTGTGCAGGAAACAGCTGATCAATGATGTTACTCTCATCAGGGTTTCTCCCTCTCTCTCCTTCTCCCTTCCTCTCTTTTTATAATCAATAAAAACATATTTTTTAAAAATTCATTGAATAAATTCAAATTGCTGAGATCAGAGAATATATATAATCCAACCCATTAAGTTGACCCTAGTGTTCTCCTACTTAGGATATGTTAAAATTGGTTCTTTCTCCACACAAAGTAAGGCAGAATAACTTAATGTTCTCATCAATCATGGTTTTGTATTCCTCAAAGAAGGAATAACCCTAACATAGTAAAGCTGACTAATGAATTGGGAAATAGGGACACATGTAAGGCCATGGAAAATATACTAATATAAGGTTTATATAAATCTTAGTTTCTGTTAAATAAGCACTATGAACTTCTGAGAATTCTTAATGATCTGTCCCTTCTTCAAGAAAAGTAACCATAGCCGGCACTGGTTTGGCTCAGTGGTAGAGCGTCGGTCTGCGGACTGAAAGGTCCCGGGTTCGATTCCGGTCGAGGGCATGTACCTTGGTTGCGGGCACATCCCCAGTAGGGGGTGTGCAGGAGGCAGCTGGTCGATGATTCTCTCTCATCGACGTTTCTAGCTCTCTATCCCTCTCTCTTCCTCTCTGTGAAAAATCAATAAAAATATTAAATAAAAATAAGAAAAGTAACCATAGTTGGTATCTTCTATCTGAAATTTTGGGTTCATTTATTCAAAAGATATTAATTTAGTACCTACTATGTGCTGTCAGCATTCTGGACATATGTAGTAACATAGTGGACTGTTTTCTGTTCGTTAAGGTGGTCATTTTTATGAATCACCAAATAAACAATAACTAAATATTTATACCATCAGCTGTCTTCAGGATCTTAAATAGTTTCTGATCGTTGGTTTTTGTTTTTGTTTTGTAAAGAATTAAGACCACTGCATTAACAGAAATTACAAATATAGTTTCTAAAATGTGCAAATGTTTTTCCTTTAGATGACTGTCAAATTAAAAAACGCTCAGCTTCTCTAAACTCCAAGGTAATTAATAATTTATCTACTGATTCACTTTAAAGATGTCTATCAAATATTTTAGGGGGTTGGTTTTTAAATATTTGAAGCAACATAGCTTTGAATGTAGATCATAAAACAATTGATATGTATGCATATATGTGTGTGTATATTTGCTCAAGTGTATGCTTTTATATTTCTTGTTATGTTGGTTTATCAATTAAATGTGACTGGTGGTGAGAAGGAAGCTGTAAACAACAGTATCTGTCATGTAAAATGGGAATTGGAAATAGGAAATCCACCAAAAGCAAAGTATCTAGTTTCACAAAATCCACAGGGCAAGCCTCCTCCTTTCTAACTGCTTCATCCACTCAGCCCTTTGGGTCCATACTATGGTGTCAGAGGCCTCTGCAGTGAGGCCTGGTCATTACACCCGGTCACATTCCAAGAAAAAGGAAAGACAGGTATTCCCTTGCCCTTTAAAAATAACTTCCTAGAAGTCCCAGAAAACATTTCCCTTTTCACTTTAGTTGCAAATAGGACTGGAAATACAGTTGTAGGGTTTTTATTATTATTATTATTATTCTGGAGGCTGTATGCCTAACTAAGAATCAGGGAGTTTGAAAATCAGGATTGCTCAGAATGTAGTGACTCTAAAATCATTCCATCCAAATTTCTTTTTCACTCATAAGGAAAGAGAGAAACACAGAAGTTAGTTGATTAGTTGTGACGTTTGTAGTGGTAGAACCATGATTGGGACCCAAGTTTCATGGACCACAGGTTGATATTCTTGATGCTCAACTAACCTATGAAAATAATTTAGGGATAATGGTTTAAGAAAAGGATTGGCATAAAACTTTATTTCCTACATTTAAAATATTTTTATTTCCTGAAGCTGTACTTACTCAAACTTTAAGAACCACATAATACAATATAACATTTTTTTCTGTGTAAGCCTCAAGGTCAATTGAAAAACACACCCATTCATTAAAGTAATATGCCCATCCTTAAATGCATTAAATGGGGAAAATGAAGCAATTTTAAAAAGGTAAAATATAGGTCTATATTTAGCTCCTCTTAGTAGAGGAAAATCTTTCTAAAAGAAATGGTAACAAAAGAGAGGAAGAGATGAAGAGACTTGGCTGTATTAACAATGAAAACATTTTCTGCCCAAAATATCATGAATAAAATTAATATGGGCGGAGATCATAGACAGGTAGTTCTCAGATGGTTACCGTATTTTCCGGCGTATAAGACGACCCCCTAATTTTACAGTTAAAACATAGGTTTAGGCCTATATTCGCTGTATAAGACTACCCCCCACTTCCGAGGCAACACCAGTTCTTTTTTTTAATAGACCGCCTCTCTGACTCTGGCCAATCTGGGCAGGCTTTTTACTAGAACACAGTGTAGCTTTGGGTACAGAACATGTATAATTTGCATGCATAAAAAGCCTGCTTGGATTGGCTGAGTTAGAGAGGTGGTCCGAGCAGCCTTGCAGTGATTGGTGCAGGATCAAGTTGGAAAATTCGTTTAGCGGCATATCCAGACGATTTTCGGGATCGAGTTGGAAAATTTGTTTAGCAGCATATCGAGACGTTTTTTGAGATATACTCGGCATATAAGACGACCCCCGGATTTTTTTTTTTTTTTTTTTTTCGGTTGACTTTTTTCATTTCAAAAGTCATCTTATACGCCGGGAAATGTGGTATTTAACATAGAAAACGTGTTGAATATTTTGAAAGTCAAATAAATGCAAACCTAAACAAAAAAGCTTATACCCTTTATTTGACTGGCAAAAATCAGACTCACCCAATGTTAGGAAAGGTGAAATGTAAATGAGTAGAATACTTCTGGAAGGCAATTTACTCATAACAGAATCCGTTTTAGTGTTTGCTGTTTAGTTCAGCAGTAGTCAAGAGCACGGCTGCGTATGTACAATACACTCATCAGTGTTGCATACAAGAATAAAATAGTAAGAATTTTCTAAATGTTTGCTTCCCCCTTTTGAATAGCCATCTTCTCTTCGAAGAGTGACAATTGCCTCTTTACCCAGAAATATTGGCACTGCAGCAATGGTAAGCAAGTTTCTAACTATTCTCAGTCAAAAGCAAAGTCATTTTCATATAAGAAAAACATATGAAATACTTCATTAAATTCATATTTTATCATTTCTTTCACACCTGAACTTTAAAGACTGCTGGGAAGGAAAACAATGACCGATTCAGTAGGAGGTCTAGTAGTTGGTAAGTATAATTATATGGTTGCTCTTTGGTAATTTTAGTAATTTTAACAGTGTTAAAATAAATGTTTGAAATAAGTGATATAAGCAGAATCATTTTTAAAATTGTCATATAATAAAAAGTTTTATTTTTTTTAATAAGCGATATGCGAGTGCCAAGGAAAATAATTAGGACGTATAACTTTTGTAATGAGTTCGGGAGTGGGAAATAAGTTAATAATGGGTATGGATATATTTGATATGACAAGTGGATATGATCATCTTTTATAGGCGTGTTTTGGGGTCAAAGCAGAGTGAACACCGTCCCTCATTACAACGGTTTATCAGCACCTATTCCTGGGCAGATGGTGAAGAAGAAAAATGTGAGCTCAAGTAGGTGAAGCGTGTGTTAACCTGATGCGAGCTGGGCATAAACAGTGGGGATCACTTTTATTCCATGGAGATGAGATCAGTATTACATCATTAAAAAGCTCATTCATTGTTTAAGACTTATAAACTACAAAGAACTACATAAAAGCTATTTGTGAATAAACTCTTGTAGAGCTCAGAACTGCAAGGTTTTTGGTCTTAAGTTAGAAAAGGCCCTGTAATTTTCTAGATTTGTAAAGATAATGTTTTTCCCTGTACAGGCAGGTATCTTGCCAGCAGGGATGGGGGGACAGTGAATAAAGACCCACAGAAGTAAAATGTGTAACTTTTTAAAAAAAATACATGAATTATATATATACCATAGGCACATATGTAATATATGTGCTATATATATATATATATATATATAATCTTCCCTTTACATAAATTAAGAGTAGGAGAAACATAAAACTCAACATGACTACTCTATATCTAGCAAATTAAATAAAATATACTTCTATAGCACAAGGGAGAGAGAGCAGGAAGGAGAGACATAAACAAATGCCTATAAATCCATGGGTGATGTTGGACAAATTGCTTTAACCTTCCTTGGCCTCAGTTTCCTCATCTGCGAAGACCTTAATGAAATGATTTTATGTTCATGTTCTACATGTTCCTTGAGAGCCTAGTGTGTGACAGACACTACACCAATCCTAAGGGATACAGAGATGAGTGAGACATAGGGCCTACCTTTAGTTACCATAATGGATGTTAACTGATCTGGGGCAGAAAAAAGATCAAGAGTTTCCTTCAAATGAGTATAATGTATTATTTGCTTTTTGTTAGTATAGTATGATTTTTACTGAGAAGTCTTTGTAAACGAAAGATTAAAACTGAGAATCTTATAAGAATGCTGTTGAATCTGGCTTTTGGGCCTTATTTCCTTTAAAGACTAAACTAAAATCTACCACATACATTCCTGTATTTTTTCTGCCTTTTTGTTTGTTTGTTGATTAAGGTATTACATATGTGTCTTTATTGCCCCATTGCCCCTCCACCCCTCTACTCATACCCTCCCACACACCCCCTGTTGTCTGTGTCCATTGGTTAAGCTTATATGCATGTGTACAAGTCCTTTGGTTGATCTTTCCTCTTTACCCCCACCCTCCCCTACCTTCCCTCGAGTAGACCGTCCCTGTATTTTTTTACTAAAACAACAACCACCACTTTGAGACAGTCCCCTTTGGCAATTGTGAGGGTATCAAGAGCTTGAACTCAGCAATGAACATAATAATGAAAGGTTCTGTTCAGGTCAGGGCATCCCTCTTTAGATAATATGAAGTTATTTAAAATAAAGTCAATTCAGTCACCATTTGCCAGATTGCTAAACACTGCTAGCATATTTTAACTAGTTTTGCACTGAGAATATTTTCATAAAGTTTTAAAATTAAGATTTTTAGAAAAATAGAAGAAACAACACTTTGATGATATTCCTATTTACCATTGACCAAAAAGCCTACAAAGAAAAGAGTAAAATCAACTAAGATAGGTTGTTATAGTCCACATGGTAGAAAAATACTTGGTGAAAACAAAATGGTTAAATAAACTTGGTGATATGACTTTTAGAACTAGATATTTGTCAAATATTTGTGTGCATCTTTTTTAATACAATGAAATTTAGCAATCTTATCTAATAAAAGAGAAACATGCAAATTAACCACCACTTCGCTATGCCCACTGCCAGAGTATGCAAATTAACCCAACAAAGATGGAGGTTAATTTACATATACAGGTGTGGAGTGGAGTGAAGTTTTTTATGAGGGGAAGGGGGGCGGCAGAGGGAGCTACTGGAGTGATGCTCCGGACAGAAGTGAGGACTTGCTGGCTCCAGGCAGCTGGGAGTGAAGCCAGGGGAAGGAAGGCCTATTCTTGCATGAATATCATGAATAGGCCTCTAGTATTTTATAATCATAGCACATTATTCCTAGCTTTGTATATTTAAAAAAACAACAACACTTACTTACAGAACTAAAGATGATGCAGAGCCCCCCGGAGAAGAAATAATAGAAAGGACAAGGAAGCCAAGTCTTTCTGAAAAGAGGAATAATCCATCGAAATGGGATGTCTCTTCAGTGTAAGTTGTCTACCTACCAAATTCTGTCACTTTAGTGGAATGGGGAAGGGCAAGGCAGGATACACAGTATTACCCTGGATTAAGTTACTTTATTTAAAGAACTGTCCAACTGCAAGATTTAAGATGAATAGCAAACTTCAAGTGGTCTGCAGGGGTTAGTCCTGAACCTGGGAGTTACAACAGGGAGGAGCATCCTGTGCAAGGAGCCTGGCCCAGCCACCAGGAGGCCCAGCTCCACACCCAGCTCTCTAGCGAGCTCTGTGGCTAGGCACCTTCACCCAATTCTTCATCTATAAAACGGGTGATGCCAGTACCTTTGTCCTGAGGTCATGACTACAGGAATTACCATGAGTAAAATGCTTAGCACAGTGTCAAAGACTTAAATGATGTTGTAAATACGTAACCTTTTTGGGTGGGCGTCTCTAAAAGAAATAGAGTTTAAATGTCAGTACACCAAACATCTATGATATGGTGAGAAATAAGTGACCTATTTATCTTTACATATGTCATACACAGATATTCTACTCTATTCAATAAGTAATATTTTTGTTTCCACTGTAGGAACACGCCGCTTTCCCTGAATAAGATAAATAGTTGTATATACTTGTTAGGAGTTAAATGATGCCTGAATCACAGCATTTTCAGATTCTCACCATGATCACATATTATTTCTTTAATTCTGACAATTATAAAGGGGGGCAGATTGTGGCCCAAACCGAAACATTAGATCACATCATGTAGTTTATTACAAAGCAGTGTTGGTCAATGATTTGATCGGTATTGGTGACGAAAGAAGTGATTCTAATAAAGGGTTACTGTGATGACCAAATTCTGAATCTGTATTTTCCTTGTAGCTATGACACAATAGCTTCCTGGGCAACAAATCTCAAGACCTCCATCAGGACGGCTAATAAGGCACTCTGGCTTTCCGTTGCATTGGTTGTACTGTTTGCAGCTTTGATAAGCTTCCTCACAGGCCGGTTTTTCCAGAAGTCCGTGGATGCTGCCCCCACCCAGGATGGAGACTCCTGGATGTCTCTAGAACATATCTTGTGGCCATTTACCAGACTCCATCACAATGGGCCACCGCCAGTGTGACTGTAGGATGTCCTAATGTGTGTATCTTGATTTTTTTAAAGTTTCAGTATCCGAATTTTGTAAATGAGTAACAGATAGCCGGGAAAGTGTAGCCTGGAACCGGAGGTTCTCAGAATGACTAAGATTTTTAAATTCCCTCTTTTTGTGATTACCCTTTCATGACCTTTTAATGAGCTTATTGAGAAGGATATATTATATAAAGTTGTTTGTTAACTTTTGTTGAAATAAAGAATCATTAAATCTCAGTGAGCCAGTGTTCATAGGAAAAGAACCCCACGTTACAAAATAAAATTTGAGTAAAAAATTCTGATTAGGTAATTTTAATAGCCTATTTGAAATATAGTCACTGGCTACATTTTATTGAGAAAATTCCCGATTTTTTTTCTTTGAGTTACTTGATTCTTCATGCTGAATAAAGTTTATCAGTAGAGATTAAGAATAACTGAATATTCTAGTACAGAGTAGCATGTGGCACACAGAGTGAATAAACTGGTAGTCAGGGCTCAAGACTTTCTCCATTGCTTCTATGGAAGCAAAATCCTTAATCATGTGATAGAGAGTAGAATGAAACTCAGTTTCCTCTTTCAGGGCCTCAGAGAATGCCTCACTGTCTTCATCAATCTTGAGCCTTAGTGCTCGGTTGCCACTAAACATTAAAAGAGTCCAATTAGGATTCTCAATAGGTGTCTCTTCTTGAGTAAGGTGTTCACTCACCTAAAGAAAGAAAATTAGAGAAATCTGTTATTCCAATTAAGTAGTTTGGCAGGAGAGTATCAGTTGAAGGGCTCAACTCAATCCCCGAAATGCATTAATTCAATCAACAACTATTCCAGTTGCTGGGAATATAACAAACCAAACATTAATCAGTAATTAATGATTGTCCTCAAAGAGCTTAGGTTCTAGTGGGAGAACCACAATAAACAAGACAAATAAATACGGTGGCTAATTTATGCTCAAACATTAATTAGTCAGCTTTTAGAATTTATCAGGTAAGTAGCAAATGTGCCAAAAAGTTCGTGAACCATTGATATATATTCGCATTAAAGGGAGTCACAATAACAGATAAAAGGACTCTAGTCTGAAATCAAGAACATTTGGTACCATAATGGGTAATGAAGGTACAACCCTTCACATAGGTTAGCTTTATATTTTTGACAAAATTTAAAAAAATGGTTTTAAAACTCCATTTTGAGTGTTATTCCCTCCTCCCATTTTTAAGAGGAGAAAACGGTCTATATTCTCTTAGCCTTTGATTCTTTTGGAGGACAAAGTGGTGTGATGGGCTTTTGCATACTCTACCTTAAATATAACTTTTTCAGGACCACATTGCATATTCCACTTGCTCCAACCAAATGCAAAAGCAGAGCTTAGCAAGGCCATTTGTCGATAAGCTTTCATTTCCACCAAAGGATCCTGTCAATATAAAAGTCAATAGAATTGATCATAGAGCCTTCCCAACAAGTCTCCCTTCCATCCTTGGCCTCCTACAGTTTATCTCAACACAGAAGAAGCCATTAAAATGCAAGTCAGATTCTGTGACTCCCCTTTCAAAACGGGGCAATGGCTTTTCCTGGCTCTCAGAATAGAATCCAAAGTCCTAACAGTGATCTGTCAGGGTCTGTGTGATCTGACACCCTCCCACACACATCTCATTATCTATATGACCTATCTTCTCTTCTCCCTTTGCTCACTTCAAGCACCTGGCCTCCTTGCTGTTCCTTCAATCTTCTAGGCTGCTCAGCCTGGAAGCTGATTCCTGAGATATCCACTTGGTTACATCCCCCACCTTCATGTTCTGCTCAAATCTTTCCTTCTCACTGAGCCCCCAATGCCATATTTGATGTTGTACACTGCCCTAACACCAGAATTCATGATCTACCTTTTCTTTTGCCCATAGCTCTTATTTACCTTTAACATGAAATCATTTTTTATGCTTATTGCCTATTTTTTGTCTCCTACTAAAATGTAAGCTCCACAAGGTCAGGAACTTAAAAAAACATTCACTAATGTATCCTAAGATCTAAAACATGCCTAGAATATTAGAATATAGGTGGTCAGAAAAAGAAATTCTTAAATATTCTAAGTAAATGAAGACTACACTATATTCAGCATTTGCAGAGTATCTAGCAATTTAAGTTCTTAAACCAAGGTGGTATTCCCCTCTCTCCCCCCCACACACACACTCACACTCACACGTTTACATACTCTTGAGATAATTATTTTCAGATGCTTCATAAATGTCTACCTATATGGTCATTTTTCTGGTATAATATAAACTTGTTCTTAAGGATTGAACTCATCTGCTCAAAACACTTCTCGTGATAAGGAGAGAATTTGTCTTCATTCATATGTCAAATATTACTAACCATCTACTGTATTCTAGGGATATGTGAGGTGCTAGAAGAATCCATCCAAATTGATCAAAAGGCAGTTCCCATCCTCAGAGAGCTAACAGTTTCATAAGGAAGGATCTCATTGAGCTACAGCTTCCCAGTAACACAAAGCAGGCTGTGTATTGTATGCGTCTACAGGGAGCCTCTGCCAAGGCCCAGGAGGAAGTGGGTTGTGTACCAGTCGTTTGCATGTGTGTTTGATTTCACCTGACTTATCCTGTTTGGGGAAACTGCTCAGTCATTTACTCTTTTAAGAAGTCTTACATAGCCGAAACCGGTTTGGCTCAATGGATAGAGCTTCGGCTTGGGGACTGAAGGGTCCCGGGTTCGATTCTGGTCAAGGGCATGTACTTTGGTTGTAGGCATATCTCCAGTAGAGGGTGTGCAAGAGGCAGCTGATCAATGACTCTCTCTCTCATCGATGTTTCTAACTCTCTATCTCTCTCCCTTCCTCTCTGTACAAAATCAATAAAATATATTTTTTAAAAAGTCTTACATATAACTAGTCTGGAAGAAGCAAAAACATATACAAATTGTGACATGATTCTGACTACCCTTGCACCAACAGTGGCCAATTGTAGGTATCCTTCTCTTGTCAAGTGAAGATTATACTAAAGGCTTACTTCTTCGGGGGAAGATCATTAAACTTTAGAGAAATTCTGAATTTCTGAACTTGTCATTTATTCTTTTCTAACTATAATCTTATATAAATGAATATAGAAAACCCATGATGTCCTTTTAAGATTTATATATAATTTAATACTTGTTAGCATTCTAAATGTCCATTACATTAAGTTTGGAAAGATTCATTCTTACCTTTTGGTTTCTAGCCACATAAAAATGAGAGTACTCATTAGGGAAGATATTCAACCCAGCTTCTTGTAAAGTAATAATGAAATAAATAGGACTCATCCATTTTCCTTCCAACATAGAGAGATAGTTTTTTTCACCGATTATTACTGAAGCTAACATGCAGAGGCCTTCCTAGTATAAAAATAAAAAATAAAAAAAAAGAAGAGGAAAAAAAAAAAGAAGCTTTCATACAAGTTAAAGAAATTCTTACTTCATTATCATTCTGGTTCTAGCCTTAGGGTTCTTTAAGCCCTAGCACATTCTATACTAAAAGGAATGCAGGGAAAGTATGTCTTAGGACCAATCTGAAAGCTCTGCCACCAGGTCTCCATGTTTCCTTGTGGTGCTTTATCTGAACAATAAGGGGGCTGAACTAAAGGATCTTTCAGATCTCCTATTTTATAAGTTATGATCTAAGAATACTATGTATGTTCCTATTGAATTATAATAGCTATTTGATAGCAATCAGGCTACACTGTTTAAGGATAATTATTTACATAATTACATAAGATTTAACATAATGCAAAATTATTTTATAGTTTTAAAGTTTGCAAGGTTTAAACTGGAAGTTCAAGGGTGTACAAAATTCACACCTCTCATTTGCTTTCAAAAGCAAAGCTTGACTAATTTTATACTTCCACATTTTTAAGAATTTCAGGCTAGCTCTCTCTTAAAACAACTTTAATGAGGTATACTTTACATATCATAAATTCACCCATTTCAAATGAAGAATACAGTAATTTTTTTTTAAACTTGACTGGTGCAATGATCACCATAAATCAGTTTTAGAACACTTCCATCCTCCTCTCATCCCTCCTGCCAATGTACAGTTAATCCCCACTCCCACCTTCAGCCTCAGGCAACCCCTAATCTACTTTTGTCTCTATATTTCAGGCTAATTTATGACTGCCCAGTAATACAGGCTCCTTGAAAGAGAAACCTCACAAAGGGGGTTTCAAAGGGCTTGGTGATAAAGATCAAGACACCTCTTAGGAGTGGGTCAAACACTCTCTGAAAGTCTGCAACCAGGCTTGTACCTTCATTAATTGGTCTATTCCTACTAACTTTAGGGTATAAATTTGTGCCTTGCTTTTTACATGTTATTTACCATCTAATTAATATTTTGTTCAGAAATTATAGCTCAAGGTCTATATTAAACATATTTATAAAAGTTATTTCAAACAGCAGTTCCCTACTGAAGCCTGGGCTGCAGCCCTCACTGCTTAGGCCACTGAACAGGTAGAAATGACCACTCAAGGGTCTTAGCTGTTCTTATACAGATTTTTAGACAGAAAGTAAGATAAAGTTGATGGAAAATAAAGTTTCTTAAAAAAAAAAAAAGACATTTCTGTATGTAAATGACCAGTGATAGATTGTTTTCACACACTCTCTTATAGTCACCAATGAGGCTTACCTTTTGGATGTGACTTGCTGTAACAATGACTTACCTTAATTTGTATTTGAATCTCAGCAAATACTGTAGTCACAGTCAAAAGTACTTTATTCACATCAAATGGTCTTAGTTCCCATGACTGGTATGGCATGTTAATATGAGTATCTTGAATCAAGGTAACAGGGCCCAAAGTGTCCAGGCTGAATGTTATAACTCTTTCTTCTGATTTATAAGTTATATTACTGATGCCATCAGTTTTCCAATGTTTATCTTTTAGATTAAAGCAAATGACATTAGTTTTAATTTTTTTCTATACAAAAATAGGTTGAATAAAACCCTAATAACTGTTTTATATATTCTCTTTTACGTTTAGAATAGAATTTCAACAAAAAACCAACCTTGCTGGGAGTTTCTTCTTATCTACAGGGTCACACTTGGTATGCAAGACCTTCAAATGAAGCTTTGACTCACATTTCTGGCTTCACCCTTACCAGTTCTTCACACCTGGTTTCAGCACTGCTTTTTTCCTTCCCTAACAACCTCATGCACCCGTGTGCCTCTGCACATGCAGTTCTTTCTCCCTGCAGTACAGAACCTCTTAGAGAACCTCTTATTTTTTTTTAAACAGCTTTGACATTTACCTGTCTTAAGTATACAATTAAATTATTTTAGTAAATTTACCCAATTTTGCAACCATCACCACAATCCAGTTTTTAGCACATTGTTATCCTCCTGATAAGTTCCCTGTGTCCATTTTTAGTTCATTCCCATATTCCAGCCTCAGACAACCATTAATATATTTCCCATCTCTAAAGATTTGCCTTTTCTGACTTTTAATATAATAGGTGGTCTTTTGTGTGTCTTACAACTCAATAATAAAACACAACCCAATTTCAAAATGAGCAAAAGGTTTGAATAAATATGTCCCCAAAGGAAATATATGTAAGGATGATACATTAAAAAAAAAAGCAATATTATTGGTCATTAGGGAAATACAAATTAAAACCACAACAACGGTTATAATAAAAAAGATATAACAGTAAACGTTGGCAAGGATGTGGAGAAATGGGAAAACTCGTATTGCTAGCAGGCATGTAAAATGTCACAGCTACTTAAAAAAAAAAAAACAATTTGGCAGTTTCTTAAAAAGTTAACATAAATTCATCTTTCAACTCAGCAATTCCACTCGTAGATATATACCCAAGAGAAATGAAGATATATATCCATGCAAAGTCTCGTAGGAGAATGCTCTCTTAGTCTTTTGAGGACCTGTTGAATATTTCATCCTTAACCTTCCAGACTGACTTAGTCACTGTTCTGCTCTGCAGCACTCCCATCTCTGAAAGCACACCACTGCGTCATGTTGTGATGTTTTTCTCTATATGCCTCTCCTACAACTTTGAACACTCCCAGAGGAAAGCATGCATTTCTCTCTCTTTTTATGATTGTTTTAGCATGCCTCTTTTAATTGCATAATTGTCAAAGCTAGTGTACCTTCAGCATCCCACCTTGCCACCTGGGGATTCTCAAAAAAGATCACGTTTTTATGAACCTCAAGCATGACATCTATGGGCGGGAAAAAGTTTTCTGTTTCGAAGTCTTCTGTAGTTGCTGGAGGATAAATAAATTTCTGTAATCCGTCTTTGAGTATCTTTTAAAAACGACCAAAAAAAAACATATCAAGTTAGGTGTTATAACTAAAGTTGTAAATATTACTGAATAAGCTATATAGTTATTTTTAATAAGTACTAAAGTTTGGTCCCAACTATAGATTGACTAACAAAATATTATAACAAAATGAAAGATAATGATTAAGGGGGAAAGCACTAAATTTGAATGTAGTTACAGAACCCTTTTATGGGCCAGGTTCTAGATTGGGACTTGCACATTATATTCCAAGCAATCCTGCAGGCATGTGTTTAACAAAGCAGGTGACTGGGTGAAAAGGGTAAAGCAAATGAGAAGCACAGATTGGCAGCTACAAAACAGTCGTGGGATGTCAAGTTAATTACCTACTGTAATAACTGTGTATGCTGCCACCTGGCGACTGGAAATATCAGGGGAAACAATTTCTAAAGTATGTGACTGAAGGTCTGCGTCAAACCTCAGAAAGAAGGTGGGGCTTGCAGGGGTAAAAGATCAACCAAAAGACTTGTATTCATGCATATAATCATAACCCATGGACACAAACTGTAGGAGGATGAGGGCATGTGCTGGGGGGGCGGGGGGGAAGAGGCCAGGAAGAGGTCAATGGCAGGAAAAGGAGACATATGTGATACTTTAAACAATAAAGAACTTAAATTAAAAAATAATAATAAGTATATGGTGGTCTAACTACTATGCTGTATACCTGAAACCAATACAAAATAATATTGAATGTAAAATGTAATTTTAAAAATTTTAACTAAAAAAAAAAGGTAAGTGGGATCTCCATAAATCAAGTAATTTGCCACAAATTACAAATAACTTCAAAGAGGCATCAGAACTCAAAAACAGAGCTATGGGACCCCAGATATCATGTTCCAATACCCTGGCTAGGGTGTGTAGATGAAGAGAAAAAAGTATAAGCACTGTAACAAGTGTAGAAATGAATGGATGAAAGTAAAACTCATCACATTGAACACCTTAAACTTACATGTCAATTATATCTCAATAAAGCTGGGAGAAAAAAAGTCAGTCAATGAAACCAACAGAGATTTCTCTGGGACAAAGGCAATCCATCCACTATCTAAATGTAGAGAAAGATCTAGAGAAGGGGAAAGACTGAAAATGTTACAAAATAGAGAAAGAAAGAAAAACTGGAGTGGAGACAAATTGTAGAGGAGGCTGAAACTGGTTTGGCTCAGAGGATAGAGCGTAGGCCCGCAGACTGAAAGGTTCCAGGTTCAATTCCGGTCAAGGGCAGCTGATCAATGTTTCTAACTCTATCTCTCACCCTTCCTCTCTGTAAAAAAATCAATAATATATATATTTAATTGTAGAGGGGGGAGAGATTATTAAAAAGATACTTGAAAACAAAACAAAAAAAAACCTTTCTTGTGTGTCTTAGTTGGTAGAGTGTCTTTCCTGTATACCCAAAGGTCGCTGGTTTGATTCTGGTCAGGATTCACACGAGGTTGGGAGTTTGATCCCCAGTTGGGGTGCGTACAGGAGACACCCAATAGATGTTTCTTGTGCTCTCCTCCTTCCCCCTTCTTACTAGCATCTCTCTAAAAATCAAACAAATATATATATTTTTTAAAAAGATTCTTGGGGAAAAAGTAGGAAGGCCTCTTTGTTGCAGGAGAGGAAAACAGGTGTGAGGCAGGATACTCTGTGCTCAAACGAAGAGCGCAGACTGGTGGTCTCAGGACATTCTCACAAAGATCTTTGGGTGAATCCTGAAAACCCCACATCAGGCTGAGACCTTCCTATGGATAAGAATGTCTGTTTTGAACTCCCCACTATCCTTCTAGTGTCCCTGAGATAGGGAAGGTTGATTCAAATAGATACTTCAAAGTAGATATTGACAAGATTATCTCCCCCAGGTGTGCTCTAATAAAAGCATTCTCATTTGTGGGGAGAAGGGGAAAGGAATGATAATATCACCCCCATCAGGGTGAAAATTAGTTTGGGGGGAACATGAAAAAAAATCTTACTCTTTTATGTATAAAGCACAGATATGCATACAGCACACACACAGATAGTCCATCTACGGTATTAAAGTCCTTGGCGGGGAATGACTAGGAAAAAATGTTTACAAGAGAGGTGATATGGAAAAAAATTTTGAGAAATACTGCTCTAATGCAAGAACGCACCAACAACCTACAACGTAGTGAGAGGTGCCGGGCAATCTATGTATATGAAGTGTTAGAGGAGGCGGAGAGGGAAAGAGGAAAGGAGGACAGCAGGGCAGCAAGAGCTATGACAACAGAATCGGGTATATTTGGGACACAAGCCAGTGAGGTAACGTGAAACCAAGTCAGTCCTAGTGCAAATGCTACTACCTACTAAACCAAAAGGGAGAAAGGCCTCGATAGATGATCTAACAGCTGCTATGGTTCTTATTACTCCAAGTGCGGTCCTTACTACTCCAAGTGTGGTCCTGCGTGGAAATTAGTTTGGGGGAGTGCTGACATCCCAGTATCTGTGCTTTTCAACTTTTAAAAAAATACATATTTTATTGATTTTTTTTACAGATAGGAGAGGGACAGAAAGCTAGAAACATCGATGGGAGAGAATCATCGACCAGCTGCCTCCTGCACACCTCCTACTGGGGATGTGCCCTCAACCAAGGTACATGCCCTTGACTGGAATCGAACCTGGGACTTTTCAGTCTGCAAGCCGACGTTCTATTCACTGAGCCAAACTGGTTTTGGCTGCTTCTCAACTTTGATGTGCACATGAATCACCTGAGGGTCTTATTAAAATGTAGCTTCAGGAGATCTGAGGTGAAGCCCCAAATTATGCATTTATAACAAGTTCCCAGATGTTGATGCTGCTGACTGATGGATCACATTTTGTATAGCAAGGATCCAGAACAGTGCGTTAGTTGTGTTTTGCTACAATACAGACTGCTGGGTCTCGCCTCCAGAATTTCTGATTCAGCAAGACTGAGGTGGGGCCCGTGAATCTGCATATCTAGCAAATTCCCAGTTGAAGCTGGATGATGCTGATGCTTCCGGTCCATGTAGGGAACCACTTATCTAGACCAGAATCCACAAATAATGGTCCCTAGAAAGCCTGGCCCACCATCAGTGTTTGTAAATAAAGCTTAAACTGGAGCATAACCATGCCCATTTCTGTACATATGGCTGTTTTAGCATCACAATGGTAGATCTGAGGAGTTGCAACAGAGCCAGGATAGCCACAAGGCTGAAAACATTTGCCATTTGTCCCTTTACAGAAACAGTTTTCCAGCCTCTGAAACAGACTCTCATTATTAAGGTCAAATTGGCACAATCTATACATATAGAAAGCCAGTGTCCGTAAGGACCAAACGACTGGTCACCCTGAGGAGGCATGGAGCACCTCTTGGTCCCTCCCGCCCTCAGCCCACGAGCAGGGTGGGGTAGGACTGGGGACTGGCAAGCAGCTGAACAGCTGACCTCTTGGTCCCTGCCTCTGGCCAGCAGGCTCCCATGGATCAGCGATGGTGAACGGGGCAATCAGGGTGGGTAGTGGGAGGACCAGGCTGGCTGTCAGGCCATTGGGATCACCAGCTCATCCCCGGCTGCTCGGGGGCTCAGGCCTGCGGAAAAGCAGGTGCCAGTGACTTCACCTCCACGTGTGTGCGATGGGCCGGCCACTGATGGAAAACGCTGCCTGCTTAGGGCAACTCACACCAAGACAGGTAGGTCATGGGCATGCCCCACTGCTTCCAACAGTGCCTCAAGCTGCAGCAGCGGCAATGGTGCCCCGCTTGAGCGGCCCTGAGCAAGCAGCGTGTTCCATCAGTGGCCCGCCTGGTGCACGCACATGGAGGTGAAATCACCATCACCTGCTTTCCCGCAAGCCTGAGCCTCTGAGCAGCCAGGGATGAGCTGGCGATCCCAACGGCCTGACAGCCCCGCAGCAGAGACAGCATTTGGTCTGGGGACTGGCAAAAGGGCAGAAGATGGCCCTGATTGCAGGAAACTAGGCCCAAGGGACCCTACACACACTATTTCCTGTGCTGGGCCTCTAGTGTAAACATGATACTATGGGTTTACAATTAACATGCATGATTTCTAGGTTTAAAATCCATATTATCTTATGGTTTTTTAAATTGCTTTTTAGAGAGGAAGAGGAATAGAGAGATAGAATCACTGATGAGAAAGAAACTTCATCAATGGGCCGACTCCTACATAACCCCTACTGGGGTTCGAGCCCGCAGTCTGGGTGTATGCCCTGACCGCCCTGATTGGGAATCGAACCATGACCTCCTATTCATGGGTCGGTGCTCAACCAGTGAGCCACACCAGCTGGACTAAAATCCATTATTATTTTAGATTCCTTCTTGTTAATACTGATTCAAATTTTATAAAATTACATTATCTTTCGTGCTTGCTTAATAGAGTTAAAATTCATTATGTGTTAGAGCCGTTGATATAAAATAAAAGTGTGAGAAATTATTTTACTTGTAAGTTTTAAGCATCAACCTACTTCCATTATCATCCAGCCCTTCATTGGTTTACACTGTGGGGGAAGCTCCAGAATATCCAAGTGGTACACTCCACCCAGAGTTGTGAATTGGCATATGTCAAGCTCATTCTCTTCAAATTTACGTAGCCTCTCGGGAGCATTCTCTAGCAGCGCCAGCTGTGCTAAAATTAATCAGGTTAATTCCATTTCTAAATAGATCATAACATTTTTGTATACTTTTAGGAGGGAAACAATATCTAGCACTGGCACAGGAAATTTTTACTTAGCGATACTAACACTTCAAAAAGGGATTAACTCAAGCTGACCACTGGAGTGGAAATGGGCCTGTGTAATGGTTAGGATGCAGGGGAGGACTACTTCATGTTTTATATGCACACATTTCAGAATTTTGTATGCAATAAGCACATGTTATTAACAGAAAAACTTTAAAAATAGATCTTAGGGAAGGGTAAATAATTTTCCCTCTACCCTAGTGAGTTCTTGGCTGAGACGTCCGAAGTAAAATATTAGTAAGAGGAAAACAGAAGTTAACAGGGGTGCCTCATGTATACATGGGATATCCCCAGAGAGAAGCAGAGTAATTCAAAGAGGTGGTGTAGAACTCCAGCTTACACAGCATTTTCAACAAAGAACAGACAAGTTGTGGAAAATGACAGGACAAAGAAAAGCAACTGAATGTTTCTGAGATAGAGATAAAAGCTAGGTTATAGTTAGTTTTGTACATTCCTCTGGTGCCCTCTCTCCTGATAGTTCTCAGAGACAACGTTAGACCCTAAGTTTTGTCCTTCCTAGTCGTGAGGAAAGAAGCGATACTTAAAAATTTATATCCTACTTTTAAGCAAATAGCAGAGGGGTAGGGAACTTTTCTTACATCTATAGCTTTTCAGTTGCTTCCTGCTCAAAATAATCTTTATGCCAAAGTGGTATATTTGGGGCAGCATATTCTGCTACCTTTTATTATAAAAGGTAAAAAAAAAAATGGTTTAACACAAAATTTGATAACTGTTAAAGTAATGGCTTAATATTGGACCATATGGTGCTAAATATCTAGGGGCAAGCAAAATCATTAAAAAAATTAATTTTGGTGCATCTATAAAATTAAAGCTAATTTTTTCCCCCAACAAAAATAGGTCCAGCTCATAGGAAAACAGGGATGGAGGCTTGAAAATGAAGAAACTGGATCAGATAATCTTCATGTTCAGAAATTTTATGGGGAAATACTATGATTTCATAATGCTCATTTACAAACAGGGGAATATCTGAAGTCACATATCACTAGGACATTCCTGCCTTTCACTAAAATTCTTTCAACACAGTGCAACGAGTAAGAAAGGGAAATCAGACCACTTACAGGTCTCACCCTTGTGCAATATATGCTAATTAACATCTTAGTTCCTTCTTCTACCTATAGTAGTACCTATCATAGAATTTGGGGGTCGTAGGAGTTCATACATGTAAAGAGTTCAGAACTGTTGTCTGACCTGGTAAAAACACAGGAACTGTTAGCCTTATTTATATACCACTAAAATTTTCCTCTCATAAGAGGAAGCACACTGAGATGGCATTAAATTTAACCCATGGAGATCAGGCACTGAAAATTAAAGGAAATATTCAAAGGAAATCCAGTTTAGCAATTTCATTTTTTTACTTGTGTATATTCATTAAAATGTAGATTTTAATTAATTTTCGTGTCTAATTAATAACCCATTTACCTGAAAAGAAAGTAAAAAAGAATACTGTGTCCAATTTTAGACATTTATGATATAGTAGAGGCCCGGTGCACAAAATTTGTGCATGGGGGGGTGGAGGGTGTCCCTCAGCCCAGGCCGGACTCTCTCCAATCTGGGACCCCTCAAGGGATGTCCGCCCATTATTGGGTGGAATTATAGAGCTACTAAAAAAGATAGGGTCACCAATGAGGTCTGACTTAGAATAATGTTAAATATTACTCATTTAAGTAGCATCTGTATTGTGTTCTATGTATATACTAGTGGCCTGGTGCACAAAATTCATGCATGGGGGAGGGTGGTCCCTTAGCCTGGCCTGCCCCCTCTCCAATCTGGGACTTCCTCGGGGGATATCTAACTGCCGGTTAAAATCAGCAGTCGGGTATCCCTCTCATAATCCGGGACCACTGGCTCCTAACTGCTCACCTGCCTGCCCCTAACTGCCCCCCCACATTCCCCCTCCGCCAGCCTGATCACCCCTAACTGCCTCTGGCTGCTGGCCTGATTTCTCCTAACTGTCCCCCAATGTCAGCCTGGTCACCCTCTATTGCTCCCTCTGCCAGCCTGGTTGCCCCCAATAGTACTCCTCTGCTGGACTGCCCCCCTGATTGCCCCTAACTGCCCCCCCCCACTTGCCTGTTCTCCCCTTACTGCCCTCCTTCCCACTGGTCTTGTTACCCTTTACTGCTTCTCCCGCCGGCCTGGTCACCCCCAACTGTCACCCTCTGCTGGCCTGGTCACCCCCAACTGCTTCCCTCTACTGGCCTGGTCACCCCTAACTGCCCCACTCGCTGGCCTAGTCACCCCTTACTGCCCCCCTGCCAGCCTGGTTGCCCCTAACTGCCCACTCTTCTGGCCTGGTTACCCCATTGAAAGGTTCTAAGTTTGATTCTGGTCAAGGGCATGTGCTGGGGTTGCAGGCTCGACCCCCAGAAGGGGGTGTACAGGAGGCAGATGATCAATGATTTTCATCATTGATGTTTCTACCTCTCTTTTCCTCTCCCTTCCTTGCTGAAATCAATAAAACTATTTTTTAATCAAGAGAGAGAGAGAGAGAGAGAGAGAGAGAGGAAGAGAGAGAGAGAGAGAGAGAGAGAGAGAGAGAGAGAGAGAGAGAGAGAGAGAGAGAGAAGGAAGCAAACACAAATAAAAGGAATTGTTAATATTGGTTAATTCAGAAGAGGGATTGTAAAGAATTTTCACTTTAAATATATTTCTGCAATATCTGAATTTACAATGATCCTGCCTTTCTTTTGTAAGCAGGAAAATCCCAATAAAGTTAAAAATGTAAGTTAGAAGAATACCTGTTGGAACTGTTTCACTTAATACTTTTATCTCCGGTTCTTGTTTTGTGCTTTCAGGTTCTTCCTTGGCAAAACTCTAAAGAAAACACAAGGATGGATGGGTGTGACTGTCCGTGTCTTCTTCAGCCCAAATCCATTCTCCTCTGTTTCAGTCCCCACTGCAAACACTTGTTACCTTAATTCGAAGGCGCCAAACTGACACTTGCTCTGGCATAAAACTTGACTTAAAAGAACATAGTTTAAAAGTCAACCAAAATGTGAGCACATCTCCACAGATCTTTATAGAAGCAGGAGCCAGCCTGCTCAGATTCTCTGCTGAACACTTTCCTGTGTAAAACAGAGACCCTAGGAAGCAATGCAAGCTATAAAAATATTATTTACATTTGCATTTGGGGTTTTGCCAAGGGGGGGGGGGGTTAGTCCCTCAGCCTGGCCTGCCCCCTCTCCAATCTGGGACCCCTCAGGGGATGTCTAACTGCCGGTTTAAAGCAGCAGTCAGACATCCCTCTTACAAATAAGCAAAATCTATAACATAAGTTATAGATTTTGCTTATTTGGGCAATCAGCTGTCTGACAGAGTAATTACAAAGCCTACTTTTTGATAAGCCTGTCAAGGAAGTGAAAGATACTGTGTACCAAATATATAGAAAATCCCATTATACTTGAGGATGGTAAAAAGGAATCTATGCTAATAAAAGGGTAATATGTTAATTAGACCTGACATCTACTGGACAAACATCCTTTTAGACAAAGCCACTGTGGCAGGGGCTGAGCAGAGGAAGTTAGGGGCAATCAGGCTGGCAGGAGGGGATCAATTAGGGGGTGATCAGGCCAGCAGGGGGGAGCAGTTAGGGGACAATCAGGCCAGCAGGGGGGAGCAGTTAGGGGATGATCAGATTGGTAGAGGAAGACAGTTGGGAGTGATCAGGCTGGCAAGGGAGTGGCTAGAAGGCTGGCAGGCAGAAGTGGTTGGGGTGATCAGGTTAGCAGGGGAGGGCAACAGGGAGTGATCAGGCCATCAGGGGACCAGTTAGTAGGCAATTAGGCCAGCAGGGACAGGCAGTTAGGGGTGATCAGGCAGACAGGCAGGCAAGTGGTTAGGAGCCAGTGGTCCCAGATTGCGAGAAGAATGTCTGACTGCCAGCAATCAGACATCCCCGAGGGGTCCTGGATTGGAGAAGGTGTAGGCCAGGCTGAGAGATCCCCCCACCCCAAGCATGAATTGAAAATTTCATGCATTGGGCCTCTAGAACTACAATAGAAGGACAATATGATTAGAATATACTGTATATCTCAATCTGACACTAAGTTACCTTAGTGACCTTAGCAAGTCATTTATCCATTAGGAGCTAACAACATGCAGTCACACCGCAATTGTTGAACATCTCCCATCTCAAACAATTCAGTTCTCAACTAAGTTGTTCACAGAAAAAAAAAAAAAAGTCTCAGTTATCCAACAAAACTTCAGGTCTGGACTAGACAATTCTTTCATGCTGATACCTGTATGATCAATAAAGATTCATGCATCTCTCAGGTGACAAAGGAGAGAATGTATGAGTCGGTTTACCACTAAATCTCATATTGTTAACATCTCAGAAGATTATACTGTCAATATTTTACATTTTGTATTTTTATATTTTGTATTCAATATTTTGTATTTTTTGCTTTTTTTGCTCTCAACATTAAAATTCTAGTGTATATGTCATTTTTCATTTTATATTTCATTGCTTTTTGTTAAATTTTCATTTAGATTTCATGAGCTTTTTGCCTTTAAAGTGTTTATTTATAGGTGATATAGTGCATTAGACATGGAATCATCTGGGAATCTGGACCAGATTAATTCAATTTATATGATCTCTAATGGGAAAAAAATGATTCGATTTTCAAACAGCCTTCCAGAAAAAATTAAGTTTGAGAACCCAGGTCCCACTGTTATTTGGTATTCAACTGTGTGCCACATATATAAATACATCTTGCAAACAATCCTAAGAAATAGTTTTTAACTTAATTTTGCCAAAAAGGAAACTTTTTGGGAGATAACTGCTTCGGGAGATAACTGCTCTGAGGGTGGAATAATAGAGAAGAAAAGAATTTTGTACACTGCAAAGCACTAGATAATGTGCTGTTATAAAAATTTGATGTGTATGTTAATATTGGCAAACTGAACGATATCAGTAAACTTTGTTTCATCTCAACTATCACCTGCACTTCTAAAGCAACATCATAACCTCACATCAGAATTCTAGTCAGAAGCTTAAAGCCAGCTAATCACACCAGGCCTCCATCACCAAGCACCATAAAAGTCACATCCCCTCAGTAAATTTTCCTTTTCCCTACTCTCATCCCTGCGGTGGCCTTATCTTTCTCTGGACCGGTTTCAACACTATTGCATTCTCTGACAACCGGTGTGCCTCTGAATCTTGTCACTTATTAACTCATTCACTCAAAGAATTTTCAGGGTGCCCAATTTGTGCAGGCATTGGTAAGTACTAGGAATAAAGGAGAGAAAAGCACATAAGGTATCTGACTTAGGGAATTTCCAGTCTACTTGGGAAGCAGATGAACAAACAGATAGGATGGTTTTGTGGGTGTGTAATAAAAAGTGAGGGGTGCACAATAGGAATGTCAAGGAAGACCAGTAGATTCGGTGGGTGGTGGAAGATAAGAAATGATACCCAAAGGTGATGACATTTGAACTAAATCTTGAAAGATAATTAGGTCATCCAAAAAACAAAACAAAAAACAGTGGGAGATAAGGCAGAAAGGCCTGGAGCAAAACAGAGGGTTGTAAGCACCCCACACAGTCAGGTACGGTTGGGTGAGGCATTCTAGGAGCGGGTAAAAATCTGAAGCTACAGGCAAGCAGGGGCCAGCTTATGGAGAGCTTTGGGTGCTACTCTGAAGACGAGAATTTCTCCTATGGGTAAAGGAAAGCCCACAAAAGTCTTGTGATAGAAAAGTATCCTGGATGAAGAAATTTGCATTTGTAAAGGTACTCAGTGTGCCTGTGGGAGCACACTGACCACCAGGAGGCAGCTCCTGCGTTGGTCATCTGACCCCTGGTGGCCAGCTGATGAATGGATTGCTCAGTGGAAAGAGGTGAATCCAAGGTAAGAGCCATTAGAAGCATATATGGAATGATAAGTAAGCAAAATCAACATAACTTGGATGGTGATTGGATATAAGAAGCAGGCGAAACCTGATTTTCAGGTTTCTGTCTTAGGTTACAAGGTGGAGGTGGTCCAATTATCCAGAAAGGAGCAAGGATAGGGTTGGGGTGGGGTGGGGAGGAGGAAGTAGTGAATTCGACTGTGGATATGTTGGATTTAAGGTGTCTAGGTACATCCAGGTGGCCTTTCATATTATCTGCCATTAAAAAGCCAGTCGCATTTCTTTCTAACAGAAATTGTGATCATTTAAAATACCAAAGATATAAGACCAATAAGCAAGCCAGGCTTTGCAATTCACATCTTCAAAGAGTTGGAAGTTCTTCAGAGTTTAGACCAAAATGTTGCTTGCTTTGTAGGAAGACCAAGAATTTAGACTTTCTTAACAGAACCTTCCTCTTGATAACTACATTCAACAACAGGAATATCAGCTTCTACATTGACACATAATAGAGAGAATAATCTTGTAGTTAACATATTGCCTTAACGTGATTGAAAATTTTACTATTTTATGTCATCTTTAGTTCAATTGACTTTTGGGAAGTGAACTTCTTCATGAAGGAGGCAATGAGCCTATTTACATTCTGGTGCAGCTCACCGATCTTAAGAACTGCTCTAGAATGTGTTTCTGTCATTGCTGCTGTATCATCAAAACTTATTCGTGATCAAACAAACAAACTCCAGACTACATTTTTTGACAATATAATTATTCATAGTTTTGTATGTTATAAAGCTCCTTGTGTTTGTTGGCACTGGAGCTGAAAAAATAGTTTTTTTCTTTATATTATCATCATGTTTTATATTTGGTAATAAAAAGTCCTCTTTCCACAATTGTTTTTACAAAATTTAGATATTTTCCATGTATTATTTTCTTCTGGATAAACTTTAATTTTTTTAATAATAAATATTTTATTTTTATATAAGTACTAGAGGCCTGGTGCACGAAAATTTGTGCACTTGCCGGGGTAAGGGGGGGTCCCTCAGCCTGGCCTGAGCCCTCTCACCCCTGGGGAATTTCCACCTCCTGGCTTAGGCCCGCTCCCTGGGTGATAGGGCCTAAGCTGGCAGTCAGACATCCCTCTGGCAGCCCAGGACCCCTGGGGGTATGTCAGACTGATAGCTTAGCCTAAGCCGCAGTTGGATATCCTTAGCACTGCTAAGAAGATGGGAGAGGCTCCTGCTACTGCCACTGCACTCACAGCCATTAATTAGTTCAGTTTGTGGCTGAGCAGAGCTCCCCCTGAGGGAGCACACTGACCACCAGGGGGCAGCTCCAGTGTTGATCATCTGACACCTGGTAGTCAGTGTGCATCATAGCAACCGCTCAGTCCACCATTAAGGTCACTTTGCATATCATACTTTTATTATATAGGGTTTTAGGTTTCTAATAAATCTACTAAAAAATAAACATTTTCTAAAAATCTTTGCCTGGAAATGTTTACAGAATATGAATCAGAGAAGGTAGCTAAAGTATAACTTTCCATGACACAAAGCTCGATAGATACTGGAATTGGCTTATGATATGGAAGAGCTTCATGGAATAATAGCAAAGTATTTTTCACTGCAATTTGATAGATACACAGATATTGTCACATGGAAATTATTTTAGTCTATTTGCAATTTGAATTTGATATGAAAACGTGACTTGGATCATGAATAAGATCACTGGAAACAGAACAGAAATTCTAGAAATAGATCTTAGGATCCACTTGGGAACTTAGCATATGGCATTTTAGATCAGTGGGAAAAGCCTAGGTTGATATGGTGTTTTGAAATAGTTGGCTAAGATTTTAAATCAAAGACATTTATATTCTTTCTCCCCAGTTTACATTAAAATAAAGCCCAGACAGATAAAAGACTTAAATGTAAAAACATAACTAAACTAATGAAAGATGACAAAAATCATGCAAGGATCTGAAAAGATTCTAGGTGACTGATATGATATGGTGTAGGTGATCTCGATACTGCACGTTGCAAAATGTCAGCAATGAACACTTGACAAATTTGATAGAATGTCTTGAATTTTATTCCATCAAAAGATCTATACAAAGGAATTTGCTGATCTGAAATCCATTTTTTTTTTTTTCATCAAAAGATAATTTAAATTGTACCAGAGCTTCAGAACTTGTTACTGTAGCCTGCATTCCCTGTTTCATTTGGCTTCTGCTTCCCTCTCTGACATCATCGCATACCACTTCCTTCTTTACCCACCATCCATTTGTCCATCCACTGGCCTTCTTTCTGGTCTTCATTTCTGTCTTATGTCCTTTACAGTAACTGTAGACTATAATATTTTTACCTAATTATCATGGAGCTTATCCTTTCTGGTCATTTGGGTCTCAGCTTAAATAATAACTCACCATACAAGTCCCCATTAACCACCCGATCTACTAACTCCCTATCGCATACGCCTGCTTAGTTCTGTGCCCTGCACGGCATTTATGACTGCCTCCTATTGTTCAGTTCTTATTTGCCCTTGGTTTTTCCTGACTTATATGCACATCGTGAGAGCAGAAATCTCATTTGCCCTTTCACCGCTGTCCCCTGAGGACCAGAGCAGCGCCTAGGGTAGAGAGCTAGGCATTTATTGAGCAAGCAAAAAAATAAGAACAAGGTTCAGGAATAAGACTAAGCTCAGGGCATGAGCATGAAAACGGGTTGCTGAAATGACTTTGTGGAAAGGGGATGCTGCTGAATAAATGCCAGGCTTTCCACCTGGGCTAGTCTCGGAGTTTTAATCTGTCCGTGATGAAGCTTAGAAGTCCCCAAATTTCTACAGCTATTTCCCGGCTCCACACTTTTCCCTCCGACCAGAATAGTGGCTTCCCCTTCACATGGAAGCTCCTCCTTGCCTATCAGAAGATTTTGCTCTAATGCTACCTCAACAGAGAAGACTTCCCATCTGTTCACTCCAGCTTTTTCTTTTGGATACTTTTATCTTAACTCCCACACATAATCAATCTCTCTCATTTCACATATCGGAACATATACTAACTGTTACTCCTCCACAAGACTGTTAGCTCATTAAAAATGATGATCACGTTGAATTCCTTATAGAAGGTACATAGTAAATGCTTTCTATATATAAATATATGTTCATATTTTTATATATCCCTTTATGAATAAACGTTCATATTAAATATATAATATGTACTCAGGTTTATGGTAAATATTATACCTGTTTAACAGTATCTTAAAGGCAAGGACTATTTTTTTTTTTTAACTTGAACTTTAAAAAGTTCAAAGATCGCCGAAACTGGTTTGGCTCAGTGGTAGAGCGCTGGTCTGCGGACTGAAAGGTCCCAGGTGCAATTCCGGTCAGGGGCATGTACGTTGGTTGCAGGCACATCCCCGGTAGGGGGTGTGCAAGAGGCAGCTGGTCAGTGTTTCTCTCTCATCGACGTTTCTAGCTCTCTAGCTCTCTCCCTTCCTCTCTGTAAAAAATCAATAAAAATATGTTTAAAAAAAAAAAGTTCAAAGATCCACATACTATCAGGGATTTCCCTTAGGATCACTAAAATATTGTTGAAGTTGATTAAATTAAAAAAATATTTATCACAAATGTGGTATCCTTAAATTAGGGTTTTCTAAAAATTTGTAAAATGTATTTAATGGGAAGTCAGAATACCTACAATATTGTGTTATTATTATTATTACACATTTAAATTAACTAAATTATGGTATTAAGAGCCCTCTAGTGGCAAAGTTCTTAATAGACCCATGGGAAAGGAAAGATAATTTGGACCATTTTCTAAATATTAAAAGAGATTTATTTTTTAAACTTACAAGGTGCTAAATACTTGTTATTTGTGATTACAAGTTGGCTATTTTTATATTAATAATTTGCAATCAGCCTCTGAATTCATTTAAAAGATATGAGAATTGTAATATTTAAATATGCTAACCTAAGATTATAACGGTAAGTGGTGGTTTACCCTTAAAAATGATGCAAAAGTAGAGCAATTTCTTCCCCTAAAACCAAAACATGGTAAGTGCACCTACTGATCTTTCAGGGAGCCCCCTAATTTACACAGACACTCACAGAAACACACGTACTAGTACAACACACACAGACAAGTTAAATTTCATGAGTTGATATGCCAGTTTTTGAAATTTAGAATACATTTTTGCCACACAAAGCAAACAGAGGTATGAATAGCATTTTGGGTTATGATAGTCCCAATATTGCTGTGATTATAAAGGAATTCAAACTTAACCAGACTAGAAGCTCGGTGCACAAAATTTATGCACAGGATGGGGGCCCTCAGTCCAGCCTGCACCCTCTCCAATCTGGGACCTGTTGAGGGATGTCAGACTTCAGGTTTAGGCCTTATCCCACTAACTGCTCTCCCCTGCCATCCTGATTCCCCTAACTGCTCTCTCCTGCTGGCCTGGCCTCCCCTAACTGCTCTCCCCTGCCAGCCTGATCGCCTCTGCCTCAACTCTGCAACCATGGCTTTGTTTGAAAGGACATCCAGAAGGTTGTCCAGAAGATGTCTGGTCTAATTAGCATATTACCCTTCTATTAGTATAGAAGATGTGCATAACCCATGGATACAGACAAGAATGGGGGCAAAGCCTGGAGCCAGGTGGAGGAAGGTAATAGGATGACATTTGTAATATTCTCACAATAAAGATAAAATTTTAAAAGAATATTTTTAAGTGACCAATTTTTAAAGAGCAAATCACTTATTTTCCCTAAAATATCAGCTATATATAGGTTTTTGGGTTTTCCTCTCCTTATCCCTTTTTAATTTTTACAAGGTTGTAATCACTCTAAAGTGCTATTCTTTGTACTGACCATCATGTTATGTCCATTTTCTATATGCTATAGAACTTTTATAATTTATTTTAATATAATATTTAAAATGGAATTTTCAATTAACTATGTTCTTATCTCCTATTCTGATTTGAAACTTGTATTCAATCTAATTATTACCTGTGTTTAAATAAACCAATACACTTCATGTCTTAAGCACTTATAGGAAAACCTGCTCTTTCTGTCCTCCCTAAAATGCAACCTGCTTATGGCCAAAGGAGCTACTCATTCTGAGAAAGTATTACTAAATTATAAACCATTTATTCTAACTTAATAAATAGCTTAAGAAATAAAAGTAGAAACTTAAAGGCATATGATTACTAAATTACTCAATATATTATATCTAAAGATGTCAAGTTTTAAGAGTACAAAAGTTTCAAAAAACTAAGTTTGACTTTATAATATTCGTTCTCACGAAAGCTAAGGAAGTAATAATAATGTAAGCTAAACCCTCAGTTTGTGAAAGTATTTACTACAAAGTTGCCTTTAATGGCAGGTTCCCTTAAGTGAGTTTGAAATAGAACAGATACACAAAAAGTGAATATGAAGTATAATAAACACAAAAATTAAAGGGCTTCAAAGCTGTTCAGCGTTATCCCTAAAACAAAAGTGAGCAACTTCTGTCTGAACTTTAGGATGTTGAAGCAACAGGCTCCACTATGAACAGTGACGAGTAATAGAAAGCAGGGGGAGAAATATACACTCAAAATTAGGCCATTGGCAGAAGATGGATTTTGGACAATTTCTAGTTGTTTAGGGGGGTGGGGGGAATCTCGAGGATGCTTCAGCAGAATCTAATAAACATCTGATACATAAAGAAAAAAATTATAGATTGAAATGTGTCTTACTGTGTGTACAACAAAATCGGCATCTTGTTCTTCAGGTTTTATTTCTTCCTCCTGGTCTAAATGGTCTAAATTAGACTTGTCTTCTGGTTGTTTATCCTCTTCTTGGAGCTCTTTGCTGATTGCAGCTTGTGGAGCAATAACTGCTTCTTCTTGGACAGGGAAAGATTCCGTGGGAGTGACATATTTTAATATTGTCGGAACAAGGCGCAGTGGCGTGACATGATCATAGTGAGTATGTAGGAGCCGTAAAGCAATGTCACTTGATGCTAATATCCTTGGTATTTCAAAGCCAATTTTCATTTCATGGCATCTGATATTTCTATGCCTGTTAATAATTAATTGTAACAAAAAAAGATGAGGCCTAGGGGAATGCTAGAACTGTTGCAAATGTATACCCAAGCAGTATCTCTCCACTTTAATTTTTCCAGTTTTAAATCCCGACCCTGACTAGCTCTCTTTGCAGGATTTGGACCCAGTTGCTAATGTTATACCCCTCAAAACATATTCCTGCGATCCATGGGCAGCTCCTTCTCTGTTTCCTCTGTTTGGCCAGCTTCCTAGCCATCCTTTAAATGTTGATATTACTCAGCTCTCAATCTCAAGCCCTTTGCTTCTCCTTCTACATAATATTACTTCTATGGCTTCAATGATCAATTAAATTATTAGTTTTTAACATGAGTTCTATGTTTCCTAGGGTTGGGTAGGGGGAAGAAACATCCTGAATGAACTTTCAGGGGTCCCAAAATGCCCATATATTGTATATAGTGCCCCCAAAACATGTATGTACACACTATGAATAATTATAAAGACAGTGTTTATTAAAATACATTTCATTTTCAAAACTGAACTATCAGCTGTTGAAGTATATATATACATTTTGGGAAAACCGTATATATGTGAGCATATAGAATGATTTAAAATTCCTAAGAGTCAGTCTATGACTCCCAAAAAGTTAAGAACTATTGACTTATATGCTAATGACTCCCCAAAATCAATCTCAGATTTCTCTGAAGTCTTTCAGACAGTTGTACTTGATATTTTTAGGTATTTCAAACCCAACAAGTCCCTTCCTACAGCTCCCCTCATCACCATCAAAATAAAACAGAATGTTTTCTGCCTCCACTATTTGTCATCTTAGTAAAAGGACTCCTAATTCTCTTTAGACGTGGGTAGTTAATAAATAGCTATTCATTTTTCCTTTTGCTCTTTTAAAATTATAAAAGTTAATTCTCTTCACCTTTCAGTATATAATATATTTCCATAATAAAAAAAGTTATATTGCTTGTTGTCCCTAATTTAGATGTAAACCACAGAGAATTTTGTAGCAAATGCAACGTGGAGAATACTTTCTAGCTTCCTTTTACTATATATCAAAAATAAAATCCAGTTTCTTCCATTGTGATATGACTAGTCTTTTCAGAGCTGAGACCAGAACCTCCTAATTTTTACTCTGATGATTTTTTTCTTAAAACATACTGCCATACTAATTCAACCAATTTGAAATATTTGAGATCATTACTGCTATCATTCCTTAGAAAGCTGTTACTTTGTTAAAAAATAATTGGGAAAACATCACTTAAAGAGCTAAAAATAAAATATATGAAATTGTTATCTTGTGGAATTATTTTTAACAGTCACAAAAAAGTTGTTGTTTTTTAAATTTGAGATTGCCACGTAGAAAGTATCTACCATGTCCACTTCAGGAGTGAAGAGAAGGTGAAGACCTGATATTTATTCAGCTTCTATTTGTACTAGACATCATGCTATGACCTTTATATGCATTAACTAGAGGCCCGGTGCACGAAATTCATACATGGATGAAGGAGTGTGTCCCTCAGTTCACCCTGCACCCTCTCCAATCTGGGACCCCTTGAGGGATGTCTGACTGCCCACTGGGATCGGGCCTAAACAGGCAATCGGACATCCCTCTCACAATCCAGGACTGTTGGCTCCCAATCACTCACCTGCCTGCTTGCCTGTCTGTTTGCTCCTAACTGCTTCTGCCTGTCAGCCTGATCATAAAGTTTATATATATAAAAAAAAGAAACTGATAAATCTTGTTGATTATAGCTCAGAGCACTTCAGATAGCACAAATCAATCCAATTATGAATCCATTCTTTCTTACTGAAAAAATTATTTCATCAAAGAAGGGCATAAAAGTTGGTCTGAATTATAAGTGTGTAACACTAAAAGAAGCATGCAGATATCAATGAAATTAAGAACTTGGAAAAATATTTCTTCCTGTGTATATTTTTACTAGTATACTATATCCATTAGACACATATCTACACTAATAAAAGAGAAAGATGCAAACTGACTGTACCTCCGCGACACCCATCACCCAATCAGGAGTATGCAAATTAACCTAACAAAGATGGCGAGTCAATTGGCATACACAGATGCCAAGCAGTCGGGGATGGGACACTTGCATCTTCCTTAGCCACTCTGGACCTCTGGGCAGCACGGGAAGGCAGAAAGGCAGCTCCAGGCCGGAGAGGGTACCAGAAGCCAGGGGAAGGAAGGCGCATTCCTGCATGAATCTTCATGCATCAGGCCTCTAGTTAAGTAATATAACAATCAGTGTACTGTTGACATACTAAAGCTTAACAAAGCTATGTAACTTGCTCAAGGTAAAAGGCAGGTCTATGATTCAAAACCCCACATGCTTGATTTCTTAATATGGGTTTTTTCCAGGGATTCCATTATGTGATTCAACAGGCATCTGTTGGCCACCATTATATGACTCTAATGTCTTTCAACTTCCAGCATCTCCTGTGGGAATACCTTGGATTCTTCTTGAGGTTTGCCCACACATACAAGGTAATATTTTCATCCCGAATGACTTTTTCCATATTTCCAGTGTCCAGATCTGCTAAAGTACTAGCTTGCTGTGAGAGAAGAAGAAAACATTATAAAAGATCAGAGGCCTCATAAATTATACAGCCTAGATAAGTTACTTCATCACTTAAGCGTTGGATTCTCTTCATTACTTACAAGAGTTATTTGAGCAAAAATAAGATTCAATCAAAATAGCAAACAATAGCTTTTAAAAATCTCAAAATGGTATAAATATGTTTATTTAATTAAATATGCTTTCCCTTTTTTCATTCAGTTTCTCTGTAGATATCTAAGGATTAAAGTTGCCCTACATACCCAGGTAGCATGTACAGATTACTATTATGTAATCCTTTTCAATGTTAACCTTATCATGACTTTTCATTCTAACTATACACATGCTACTTTATCTGCACCTTATTAAAAACAATTATGCTACTGCAAAAGTTTGCCTATTTCTGAATATATCAAGATTAGACACAAAATATCCAGTTTATAAAATCCAAATGAATTTTATATCTTACTAGTCCAACACTTGGTATGTAACATTAAACATACAACTTAAGAATGTCCTTCAATTTATTTTAATAAAGACTAACATAGTTTGATGCCCACTGCTCCCTTAAAGGGCTTAAATAGGTTAATATGTATTTGGTTGTTATAAAGTAAAAACTTAAAGAGTATTGGGGATTAATTGCTTTTTTAAAAGAAGATTATCCCCAGCCCCCACTTCTTTTTCCTGTGAAATTAGCTTTTTGAAGTGATCAGGATAATGGCCTTGTCGAATTGTTCCACATTGTGGATTTATCTGATTGTTTCCACATGGTATTGTTTAATTTGCTCCTCTACCTCCTTATTTTGTGTGTACTGGAAGTTAGGTCTATATAGGTTTAATTAGATTCAGATGAAACCACTTTTAGCAAGAAGGCATCATAGGTTTTGTTGTGTTCTTCAGGAGGCATATTACTGGTTAGGGTGGTAACTACCCACAACTCCATTTTTCACAATCAGTAAGAAGTAATCTGTGATCAAATAGTTTGGCACTATGAGAATACCAGGTAATGTGTTCCTTAACAACTCAACTTTTCACTAATTATTTAGGTAGCCATTGATGATTCTTATTATTATTATTACATTAGGGATTGAAAACTGGTGATTCTTCTAAGTCAGTGTTTCCCAAGCTTTTGACATATGTGTACCCCTTCTATAATTTTCGTAACGCTGAGTACCCCTCGTACTCATGAGAATTTAGAATTAGGCGCAGCTAAGCACGGTGCAGTGCGTACCCCCACCAAACTCTTCCCGTACCCTTGCGGGTACAGGTACCACACTTTGGGAAACACTGTTAAATGACCATTTCTCCTACATTTATTAGATAATATTCTTCTGTATATAATTGTTCTCCCCCACTGCTCACCCCACTTTCCTCCTTTCTTTTGGAGCATCACTAAAGACTCATGAATTTTCATTTACTCACTACATTATAATCAATTTTAGTCATTATTCTTCCTGATATTCATATTGTCCCAAATTGGACTAGTAGGAGACTCTTTAAGCTAGTCATGTCCCTTTGGATATAACCCCATTAGACTCTGAGCATTTATTTGCTTTCTTACACAAGAAAACTCAACCTTATCTTTAAATAACAACCTTATCTTTCACTTTCCTTGTCACAGACCTGGAATTAGCCATTTAACCTAATTACACCTCACTCCTTTATCCTATATCAGTGGTCAGCAAATTCATTAGTCAACAGAGCCAAATATTAACAGTACGATTGAAATTTCTTTTGAGAGTCAAAAATTTTAAACTATATAGGTAGGTACATTGTTATTAACTTAATTAGGGTACTCCTAAGCTGGCCTTTGCTGAAAACTCAAGGGGCCAAAGAGCCACATGTGGCTCATGAGCCGCAGTTTGCTGACCAGTGTCCTATATAATAAAGAGGTAATATGCAAATTGATTCTTATGCCCTCACAAGATGGTCGCCCCCATATCCTCACAAATTAGCCACCCCCACATTGTCACAAGATAGCTGTCCCATGTGATCACAAGATGGCCACCCCCACATCACAAGATGGCTGCCATAAGGTGGCTGCCCCCATGTGATCACAAGATGGCCACCTCCATGTTGTCACAAGATGGCTGGCAGGGGAGGGCAGTTGGGGGCAACCAGGCCTGCAGAGGAGGGCAGTGAGGGGTGATCAGGCTGGCAGGCAAGTGAATGGTTAGGAGTCTGCAGTCCCAGATTGAGAGAGGGATGTCCTGTATTGGAGAGGGTGCAGGCTGGGCTGAGGGACACCCCCTCTCCCCAGTGCACAAATTCCTGCACTGAGCCTCTAATATGGAATAAAAATAGAGTTCATACTGATATTTCTGTTTTATATCAGTTTTATTACTATATATATATATATATATATATATATATTTGTTGTTGTTGTTTGTTTGTTTGTTAATCCTCATCTGAGTATATTTTTTTTCCATTGATTTTTTGAGAGAGAGACTGGAAGGGATGGAGGAGTGGAGGAGAAAGAGGGAGGGAGAAGGAGAGGGAGAAAGAGAAAGAGAGAGTTTGAAATACTGATGTGAGAGAGACATCAATTGGTTGCCTTCCACACAGGCCATGATCTAACCTGCAGCCCAGGTATGTGCTCTTGACTGGAATCTAACCCGATGCACTTCTAACCACTGAGCCCAAACTGGCCAGGGCAACGTCATAGTATTTTTTCCAACATTTTCTTTTACTGTATTACTTCTCTCTTACAAGAAACATCTTGACTAATAATTTTATTTCCTTACTTGCTTTTTCTTATAATATAAATAAAATAATTGCAAAGTTATAATATGAATATCATTGCTAACAATAAACTTAGTGGAATTTAAGCATTCTTTGGAGTTCTTTAAGTAACTAGAACATTTGCTACCAAGACTATACCAAGGCCAGAACTGTTTTTCTAGACCAAAAGAAAAAAAGGCAGGATAGCCAAAAGCAATATGACCTTAGATGGCTTTATGATTTAAAAATATAAAACACAGCTGCAGAAGATATTAATGGGGTATTAGGTAAAATTTAAATTTAAAACTGGATATTAAGAAGATATAGAATTTTTATGAATTTTCTTAGGTATAATAATGGTTTTACAGTTATTTGAATATTATCATTAGTGCTAAGATATTCAGAAAAACAGAGTGACTACAATAATCGTAATTCTGTACCAACTGATTTATCTAGAGAAAATACCTACTATATGTCTTGTGAATTTATTTTTAAAGTGATCCTACTAAACCTTATCAAGTATAATAAAGAAAACTAGAATTTTATCTACATGGATGTTTTGTTTAAAAATAAAATAGTTACAGTTGTTAAAAGTGGATAAATACGTGTGCCTTCCATTATTCCACTGATTTTTCTGAACCTTTTAATTTTTGAATAAGAAAATACTGTGTGTGTTTTTTATTATATAGCATACCCTTATTTTAACCCTTACAAAAGCTAACACTGACATCTGAGCACACCCGCACTCACCCTGAGCAGTAGCTCCGTGGCGATGTTGAACTTGAGGTGCAGCAACTCCTGCAGCTCCACGATGGAGCCTTGGTACTGCGCGATTTTCTTCTCTGGCAAGTCAGTAGATGGCGTTTCCAATAAAATTAATTTCAACTTATTAATTAACTATAAAGCAAGAAGTAAAAATAGGAAGTAAAAATGTACCATAAAAGTCAATCGATTCTGACAAACAAACAAAAAAGGTGAACATGGGGATATGCTAATCTTTTTGAATCCAAGAACACATGTCAGTGTCAGTAAAATAAATATAGGAAGTAATTTCTATATTATTTAAGAGCACAGAAAAGCAGAGCCATTTCCTCCCAGAACTCCATGGTGAGAATTCTCAACCAGGTGTGACGGAGCTCTCATACCCAATGGGAACCGCACCCACAGGAGAACCCTGAGAAGGCCAAGAGGAAAGGCACTAGCGTTTCCTGAGTGTGTACCACGTGCCGGCAACTATCCTAAATGCTGTCTGCGTTTTATTTGCCGAGATCCTCCTCATACCCTGTTTCGCAGGTGCTGGTGCCTATTTTGTCGATGAGAAAATTCAGGACCATCCGGTTCCGCCTGTAAGAAGCTTACAGGAAGGCGCCACTCAGTCCCAGCAAGTAAAAAGCAGACCATACTGGAAAGTCAACAACTCTTCTTTGATCCACAAGTGAGGGGAGACAGGGCAAGTCCCTGCCCCCCCCCCCCCCCCCCCAAGAGTGGAGAGATTCCCCAGAGAATATAGGGCGTCCCGGCTCACCAGCCTGGACTTGAGCAGGGGCCTGGGCCGGACCCGCAGGAAACCCTGATCTGTAAGAGGGCGCCTCCGGACATAAAAAGCTCCGGGAGGAGCAGGGGAGCCCACAGCACCCTGGCCTGTACCGGCAGCAGCTCCATCAGGCCCCACAATACACGCAGGGGGAAATCCCCTCTGCTCAGGCTGGGGGGGGGGGGGGGGGAGGAACCATTTTGCAATTCCTGGACACTCTGTTCTCCTTCACGAGGCCTAAGCTTGGGAAACCAATGAACCAGAGCCTGACCCCTGGAGTTTTATCAGACCTACCACACCTGGGGGACAGAAAAGAGCCTACTCCAGCTGGCTCCAGTCATCCCCCACAGACTGAGAGAGGTAGGAGAAATTGAAGACATGTGTGAAATTCCTGTCCTGGCCGGCCCACCACAGGACTAGAGAACGCTTCCCCTCCCCTGCCATCTCTCACCACCGCCTTACTCAGCGCCCTTTACAGCAGTTCCTTTTACCCACTATATCAGGTCTTGCTATCAAGAAAAGATGAGTAGGCATACCAAAAGGCAAAAACAAAACATAAAAAATCTCCCCCCCCCCCCCCCCCACACACACACACAATTTGAAGAGACAGAGCAAGTATTAGAACCAGACATGGCAGGGATGTTGCAGTGATCAGACCGGGAATTTAAAACAACTGTGTTGAACATAATACGCTAAGGACTCTGTGGACAAAAAAGCCACCATGCAAGAACAGGTGGCTAACGTTAGCAGAGATGGAAATCCTAAGAAGGAGCTAAAAAGATATCCTAGAGATCAGAAACACTGGAATAAATTAAAGTATGCCTTTGGTGGGCTCACTGGCAGATTACACTCAGCTGAAGAAAGACTCTCTGAGTTGGAGGACATATCAATAGAAAGGAAAACCAAAAGCAGAGAGAGAAGACTGAAAGAAAAACAGAACAGAATATCCAACTGTGAGACAATAACTAAAAGCAGTCTCCACATAATGGGAATATTAAAAAGAGAAAAAAGAGAGGAAGGGATAGAAGAAATATTTGAAATAATAATGACTAAGAATTTCTCCAAGCCACAGTTCCACAATGCTCAAAGAACATCAAGCAGGATAAATGCCTCCCCAAATTATGGATATATCGTTTTCGAACTATAGGAAATAAAATATAAATTTAAAAATCCTGATGGAAATCTGGGGAAAAAGTCTTACCTTTAGAGGAGCAAATAGTTACATCCAACTGCTCAGAAACCATGCAAGCAAGGAAAGAGTGGCAAGATATTTAAAGTGTTGGGAGAAACTGAGGCACAGCATGATCAAGGAACAACTAGTAAGTGGCAGAATTTAGCTCTGAACACTGATACAGCTAATAAATAAATAAAAAACTTCTAAGTTTGAAGAGGCAACATGGCAGCTTAGGGTAGTATGAACTCGAACCAGACAGTGGGTTTCAGTTCTAGCCACCTCTTAACTACCAGTGTGATCCTGGGCAAGTTCTTTAACTTCTCTATGCCTCAACTTCATTTGTAAAATGGGAATGATGGTGCCTTCCTCATAGGGTTATTATAAAAATTCAACAAGTTACTATTTCCAAAGGCTGGCATAGTAAGCGTTATCTCAGAGTTTGTCCAAGAAATGAATTGGATAACTTGGAACTTGATGTTTACCACGGGTTTCTCTGCTATCCTATCCTTTCAGTTGCTCTTATGGCTTCCTGCTTTGGTTTCCTATTGCTGTGATTTCTCTCTTCTGCTGTCTCCTTTTACTTACCCTTTTCTCATCTCCCCCACTACTTATGACTTGTACTTCTGTACCCCACGTTCATAACAGGACGATACCACTTCTTGCTCATCACTAGTGAACTCCAGTGCCACCTCCCATAGCCTCCCTGCTAATGGCAGAGCACCAGACTTCTGGCCCAGCCCCATGCCATGGCAGCCTCTGGGTAGAGAGCGATGCAATGGCGAGAACACTGTATGATGAGTCCATTGGTGTGAAATACCTCACAGTGTGTGGGAGGCTCTACCCAGCAAAGTTTCATTTGGAACTGAAGGTGAAACAAAGAGCTTCACAGAGACATGGCTAAAGATCACCACCACCAAACCAGTATTACATGAAATGTTGAAGGGTCTTCTTTAAGAAGAAGGAGGAAAAAAAAAATATGAACAACAAAATGGTAATAAATACTTATCTATCAACAATTGAATCTAAAAATCAAAATAAATGAAGGAATCTAATGAACAAAACACACAGATAAATAAAATAGAAGTGGAGGCGTGGAAATATGGAATAGACTGATAAATCTCAGAGAGAAGGGGGAGATAGGGCTAGGAAGAGATTTACCAAAGAATTTATATGCATACTAGAGGCCCAGTGCATGAAAATTCGTGCACTGGTGGGGGGTTCCCTCAGCCTGCCCTGCCCCCTCTCACAGTCAGGGAGCCCTCAGGGGATGTCCTACTGATGGCTTAGGCCCGCTCCACAGAGGGAGGCCACTGGCCAATCAGAGGAAGGCACTGCCCCATCACCTCCTCGCTGCTGCCTCTGGCCTCCCTCTGTGGAAGGTGACCTGGCGGTCAGGGGAAGGCAATGTCCCATCACACCTCTGCTGCTGCCACTGCTGGCTGCGAGGCTGCCTGAGCCTCAGCCCTCTCAGCAACTGTGGTTTGCCTGAGCCTTGGGCAGGCCATGGGCAGCGGCAGCCGCCATCACCTCCTGGTTAAGTCCCCACTGGGGACCCAGCATCAAGTCCTCACCCACCTGCGAGTGCTTCGCCACTCATACAGCCCCGCCCACCATCGTGCACCAACTGCACATGCAGCCTCCTAGTGATGGGTTGTGATGTAATGAGGGCATCATACAGTGAGGGCATCACGACCACATAGGCTTTTATTAGTATGGATGTGCATTACCTATGGGCACAGACAATAGGGTGGTGAAGCAGGTGGGCAGTATCTGGGTGGAGGAGGGCAATAAGGGGAAGGAGGGGGGACATCTGTAATATTCTAAACAATGAAGATTAAAGTTAATTTAAAAAAAAAGGGAAAAACTTGAAAAAATAAAAATAAATGAAAAATGTTTTCTAGCATTTTTAAGTCTATTGTAAAGTGGTAATTCCTCAGGCTAGTCTGTCCATCCTATTTGCGGAAACAGAACATAGGATATTCTTAATAATTTTTATACTTTCCCTGCCTGAATGAGTAGATGTCTGGCACATAATTAACAATAAAAGCATGTGTACTGCATCACTGAATAGTGAATAATGCCAGCTGATAATAAAATTATGCACTTTCCCTCTAAATTATTGACATAAATAGATGCAAGTTAATTTTTGCGCTTGAATTAGATACACATTACAATTAGCATTTCACATTTATGTTATGTTGACCTCACCTTAGGCATCAAGAGGTTTTTAGGCGTTAAAAAAAAAAAAAAAAAAAAAAAGAGGTTAGCAAATATTTTCCTCCTTAGCCAAGGAAGCAACAGTGCTATTAATTGGCAATTATCAAATTTATTTAATTTCTATTTTTGGAATTAATTTGTAATTTAAGTAATTTAAAATTATAGAATAATATTTAAGTACTTACGTATAATACTAGTTTACTCTTTGCAATTACTTCCTCAAATGTCTCATTTTTTTCCTCTCTCCACAAGCTAATGAAAGTATTCATTTCCTGGGCGACTGAGGGGTCAGGACTCCCATCACACTGAATGTAGTGTGTCCACTGTGGAGTAAAAATGTTTGAAAGTTCACGCTGATGAATTCAACCCAAGAGTAAATTACTTCTTGTTTATGCACGAGTTCTCATAACCTAGTTTTCCCAATTTAGGATATTATGACTTTAAAAACTAGGTTATTATGACTTTAACCAGTTACTTGATTTATCTCTAAAATAACCAAATTCCTCTTCAGAAAAATAATTTTCAAGCATTAAGGTAAATACATATTTATTGTCATCTTAATTTTTAAAACAATATATGAGCTAGCTTTGTTTTTGCTTTCCTCTCTACTCATAGAGCTCCTATATTTACAAAAGCCAATACTTGAGCTAATTTTTACTTCTTAAATGATTGCTAACTGTTCATTTCCATTAGCACTTCAGTCATGTGGTAATCTATGCAAATTCTACATTTGCAATAATATTCTACTTAAAATATTTTGCTTAAAATTATACCATAATCATATGTTGTCATTTTATTATGATTTTTCCTTTTTCTCCTAATAATCACCTATGTTGTTTCTAAAGTTAATGCCATTTTGAGCAGCACTAGATTGCCTTAAATCCAGTTTTTATATTTTAATTTAGGATAATTTCCTCAGTAAAGATTCCAAAAATTAAATCAAAGGATATAAATGTTCCAAGGACCTTATTATTGACAAATAGTTGTCTGCAAAGCTATAAGCAATCTGTCATATTAGAGATTTTTTTTCATAGACAAATTTAGAATTTCTTAAGACTAAAAAAGATATCAGACTATAACTCCCTCTTGTGGTACAAAAGTATTATCTCAAAAAAATAATAATGTCTTACCTGAGAATACAATCTATGTTCTCGTTTCATTCTCTCTGCTTCAGTAAAACAATTCTCTAATACCTTAAGTTCTTCAAGTTCATCATTTTTCCTTCCTAGATCCTGTTGCATGGGGACACATACATTTATTTTTCAATTTCAGCTTTGTGTTTCATAAGTAGCATAGAAAATTTACTTGGCAAAGTATTTAATTTCAGAATAAACATTATAATTACCTTGGATGTAACTGATATTTCTAAAAGGTTTCATCTGAAACAGTGGTTTGCAAAATGTGGTCCACAGACTCCTGGTGTATCCCCAGGCTCTTTTGGGATGTGTGAGGTCAAATACCTTTTCACAATAATACTCAGACTTTATTTGCCTTTCTCACAGTGTACACACTTGCACTGATGGTATAAAATGGTATGAAGCTGCAGACGACTTAGCGTAAATCAAGGCACAAACTGTACTAATGCCTTATTCTACAGAGGGATGGGTATTAAACTGCCAGTTTCATGCGAGAATGACCAGATGAAAAAGCGATTGATTTTATTAAATTTCAACCTTTAAGTATATGTCTTTTTAATGTTTTGTGTGAAAAAATGGGAAGTAAGCATAAAGAATGTCAGCTGCATATCAACAGACAATACTGTCTGGAGGAATAAATTCTTATGTACTTACTTAAGTATTTTGGCAGATATTCTCTCAAAAATGAATGAATTGAGCATGTCATTTCCAGGAGACAATTTAAAACATCTGTTGTCAATGATAAAATTCAAGCTTTCAAATGAATTTCAAATTTCAGAAAACTGGTGTGCCCTTGACCAGCGGTAGCACTGTGAGAGTTTCAAAATCCTTAAAGAACTTTTTCTGATTTGATTAGAGATTATATTAATGTTTGTAGTTTTTAATTATTTTTAATCCTCACCTGAGGATATTTCTTCCATCAATTTCTATAGAGTGGAGGGAAGAAAGGAGAGAGAGGAGAGAGAGAAAAATATCGAGTGGTTGCCTCCCACATGTCTCCCCGACCGGAGCTGGGGAACCTACAACCAAGATGCTTGCCCTTAATTGGGAATTGAACCCACTCACCTTGACCTGAATCAAAGCAGAGACCCTTCAGTCCAAGTGCTGGCACTCTAACCATTGAGCAACAGGCTAGGAATCTGTTTTAATTTCTACTCTGGTAAATGTTGACAGATATAACACATAAAAAAAAAAAATAAAAAAAAAATAAAAAAACTCCTTGTGGGTCTTCAATTTTTAAGAGTAATGAGGTTGTTTTTTTCCTGAGATCAAAATATTTCAGAACTATTGATCTGAAAAATTCTGGTGAAAAAGAGAAGTGAAACTAAAAAAGAAGAGGTAGAATTTGAATTTTTTTTTTTTTGTCCCTGTTTATCCTATCTAATAAAAGAGTAATATACAACTTAACCATCACTCCGCTACACTCACCAACCGATCAGGAGCAAATATGCAAATAAACCCAACCAAGATGGCTACCACCACAGAGAGCAGGAGGGAGGCTTGGGTTTCCCTGGCAATGGAGTAAGCCAAGCTTTCTGCCTGCCTTGCTGGCCTCGGCCTCCACTAAATGCTACAAAGTTTTAATGATAGAAGGTAAATAAATCCCAATAGAAATGGAAGCAGCCATGGAGCTGGAAAGAGCAGGAGGCTAGGGTTGCCCCCGGCAATGGAGGAAGCCACACTTTCTGCACACCCTGGCCAGCCCAGGCCTCTGCTTAAGACTACAAATTTTCAACTATAGAAGATACATAAACCCCAACAGAAATGGCTGCCGCCATGGAGCAAGCACAAGGCTTGGCTCTGTTCCAGGCTACAAAGTTTCAATTATAAAAGATAAACCCCACATACCAGGGCCTCCGCTTGAGTTGCCAGGGGGTGTGGTCAGCCTGCAAACCACCACAGGCCCCGTGCCCAGGCCACCCCACACCCCAAGGAAACCCCCACCCTGATCTGGGACACCCGTCAGGCAAACCAGCCAGCCTCCACCCGTGCACCAGGCCTCTATCCTATCTAATAAAAGAGTAATATGAAGATTGACCAAAACTCCAACACACAAGATGGCTGCCCCCATGTGGTCAAAGATCCTGCCCCCATGTGGACACAAGATGGCCACCACAAGATGGCCAGCAGGGGAGGGCAGTTAGGGGTGATTAAACCGGCAGAGGAGGGAAGTTGGGGGCGACCAGGCCTGAAGGGGAGGGCAGTTAGGGACAAACAGGCTGGCAGGGGAGCAGTTAGGCATCAATCAGGCTGTCAGGGGAGTGGTTAGGGGGTGAACAGGCTGGCAGGCAGAAGCAGTTAGGGGCAATCAGAAAGGCAGACAGGCAAGCAGTTGGGAGCCAGCAGTCCTGGATTGTGAGAGAGATATCCGACTGCCCGTTTAGACCCAATCCTACTGGGTGGGATTGGGCCTAAACGGACAGTCAGATATCCCCCAAGGGGTCCCAGATTGGAGAGGGTGCAGCCTGGGATGAGGGACCCTTCTCTCCCATGCATGAATTTTGTGCATCGGGCCTCTAGTTTATCTATAAAGTAGATTGCGAATAATAACTTAGTGTATACAAGCATGGGCTCACATACTAGAGTCTAGTTTTGGCTCTGGCTAAGCTTGATTTCTCTATTTCTTTAACTGTGAAATGTGGATGATATGTCATTAATTTTATGGTAGGATTAGTGAGGTAAGCCAGTTCAGATAGGCCTAAATGTTACTAATAGCTCTTGGAGGAGAATGACATTAAATGGTCCAACAGATCTGATAGCCATATAGTTTGTCTTCACTAAAAACATCATTAACATTTATTTACTTTTGCTTCAAGTTGTTGCCATTTTTCTTTCTCAATTAGTTCTACTTCTAGCCTTGCTAGTTCTTCTTTTTCAGATTTCACACGGGCTTCCTCTAAAGAACAAAAAGACATTTTTTAAGTGATAAATATTATTAAACTGTAAGAACTGAGACAGTTGTATGTACTTCTTGCTAACGTGTATTTCCCATACTTATTGAATTTGAGTGTCAGAATTCTCAATGCACAATCAGCACTGATGCCCCTATTTCACCTGTAAATATAAATATTTCAAGTAAGATTGCCAGAATTAACAAATAAAGATAAAGGATACTCTGTTGAATTTGAATTTCAGATAAATAATGAACTATTTGTTTTGTTGGTGGTTTTTTGTTTGTTTGTTTGTTTTTAAGTATGTCCCAAATATTGCATGGGGCAAATTATACCCCATTATCCATTATTTATCTGAAATTCAAATTTCACTGGGCATCCTGTATTTTATCTGATAACTATACTTTAATATATATCTGAAAGTGATTTGTGTGTACAATCAACTTTCTGGTACCCTTTAAATAGTAAACATCTATTATAAAAAATTAAACTTGAAAAATTAAAGACTTTTGTAAATTCTTTAAAAATATTTTGACTACATTACAGGACGGTTGGTATAACCTACATACGAAATTAGTATAACTGTGTATTTTGTACCTTCCTCTTTTAGTCGTTTCTCCTCCTCCTCTTGCATCAGCTTCAGTCGTTCAGCTTTGGAGAATTTCTTTTTCTTATTGCCAAGCTTCTTGAAGGCCACAACATTCAAAAAAAGGCTATTAACACACACCCAAGTAACTTAAAAGCACATATCCCTCAAAGCATAATTATGAAAAAACAGTTTTTCTCCTATGAATCCAGTCTTTCACTCATTCAAATAAGACAGCTTATTATGTGCAAAGCCTTGACTCAAGTATGAAACAAATATGAAAAATAAGCATATAAATTATTCAACAGCAAGAGTAATACTGACAAGTATGTACAATTTAGGTAACTCCCCCATTCCGTTTTCACATCTTTAAAATGGTGCTAAATAGCCGAAGCCGGTTTGGCTCAGTGGTAGAGCGTTGGTCTGCAGACTGAAAGGTCCCAGGTTCGATTCTGGTCAAGGGCATATACATTGGTTGCAGGGGAGTGTGCAAGAGGCAGCTGGTCGATGTTTCTCTCTCATCAACATTTCTAGCTATCTCTCTCCCTTCCTTTCTGTAAAAAAATCAATAAAATATATATATTTTTAAAAAGTGGTGCTAAATAGAACCTCATTTCACTGCTGTAAGGATTAAAAGAAGATATATGTAAAAACAGTTTTAATACTGCAACATGTCTCAAATATTAAAGCAATTTTTATGACTAGCAGATAATCAGAGAATTGCTTTTGCAAGTTTGAAGGAAGGAGAAATTATTTTCAATAGCTGGGATCAAGTAAAATTTTACAGAGCAGGTAATACTTAAGTTTGTGTCCCCAAATTTTAACATTCAGATATGAGTGGGAGATATCCCAAGAAGAGGGAAATAGGGCCTAGTTTTCCCCAGAATAGCTTAGGCCTCTCTTCTGGTTAACACTGTGCCAGGACCTTGCTGTCCGACCCTAACCCTGGGCAACTGCTAAGTCACATGGCTGCTGTCCAGAGAGGATACATGAGCACTCCAGCAAGTTAGGAGTTGAATTATGGGGTCAGAGAGAGGGAGTTTTATTTTGTTTTCAATCCTAGGTTGAGGACATGCTTAGAGAGAGAAAGGGGGAGAGAGAGAGATTGCCCTGGTTACCTTCCACAGGTGCCCCAACCAGGGACCAAACCTGCAAGCCTATGCCTGACTGGGAATTGAGACTGGAAACTCTTGGATGCACAAGACAACACTGAACCAACTGAGCCAGGCCGACTGGGCAAGAGCGCTTTGCTAAGTGTAAGTTATATTACCTGGGGTTTGGGATGGACCAGGAACTTCTTTAAACTAACCGGTCAACTTCCCAAGCTCTAGTGGGCTGATGCTGGATCCTCCCCAGAACCAATCTATTTTGTAGATCTTCCAGAGTTCTGTGTCCCTTACCCAATCTGGTCCTTTTCCCAGGCTGGACAGGCAGGCCTTTATGGTCATTATCTTAACATCAATTGCGGATGCCTCAAAGTGCAAGTACCTCCCTGGCTTCCTTGATTTTTAAACTTAATTTCATACACACTGTGAATTGTTTCAGTTCTTTGAAATTTGAGAATAGAATTATGTCACAGTATACTGTCAATTTAGGGGCGGGGGGGGGGGGAGGCGAGAATATCTATTCTTATAGGTCAGTGGTTGAGTGTGGACCTATGAACCAGGAGGTCACGGTTGGATTCCCAGCCAGAAATCAATGCCTGGGTTTTGGGCTGGATCCCCAGTAGGGGTTGTGCAGGAGGCAGCCAATCAATGTTTCTCTCTCATCATTGACATTTCAATCTCTCTCTCCTTTTCCCTTTTTCTCTGAAATCAATAAAAAAATATATTTTTAAAAATTTTCTTTGTTAGGTACCATGTTCTAAATATGTCTAATTCATTAGACTTGTTCTTTATGTTATTCCACCTTCTAATTACTCAAAAAGGAAATCTCCCACTGCTTTTACTGCTAGTTCTCTAAATTTTTAGTGTATATCTCAAGCCTTTGTAATTAGGTACACACAAATTCAAAATTTTATATTTTCTTGTTTGGTCATATCTTTGTCATCACAAATGACCCTCTTTATTTCTAGAAGTGCTTTTTGCCTTAAAGTCTATTGTATATAATGTTAATATAGCTTTATATCAGCTTTCATTTCTCTAGCATTTGCAAAACATGTCTTTTTCCCATCATCTTATTTTCAACTTTTCTGTATTTTTATTTGCATAGTGTTTGTAAAAAGTTTATTGTTGAATTTTTTTTCCCCCAGGGGAGAACTCGTGATTTTTTTTATTCATGGAATTAAATCTCTGCGTTTCCGAAGTCCCATTAGGCCAGTGAGAGAAGTGTAGCTGGGTTCTCAGTGAAGGTGGAAGCAAAGCCAGTGTCCAGTTTCCTTTTCGTGTTGGAGCCGGTTCGTACAGCATCAGCCTACTTGTAGTCCATCGTGTGTGGGGTCCACATAGCCTTGGGCATGTAGGCGAGTGCAGGAGAGTGGGACAAAAAGCCCCATCGCACCACGAAAGCCAAGAGCACAAAAGAGCCAAGAAACCAAGAGGTGGATTTTATTTTTTATCCAGTGTGACAACCTTTCTTTTTATTTTGGGGTGTTGTTTGGCAGTCATTTTGTATTCTTTCTTGATATCTTTTTCATTGATTATTTATGGTCAATGCACTGTTTTCCCTCTACTAGTTTGGAATTTATATACTCTGTTTATATCGTTTTAGGTGCTATTCTAGAAAGTCAACATATATAACTAATATATGATTACATTTATCCTACTATGAGACCTTACACGGACTTTAGTACATCTTAACTCAATTTATTCTCTCCTTACCCAAATCATACATGTTGTCAATATATCTTTTTATAACAGTTTTACTGATATATAGCTCACACAAATAACCCATTTATTTTATATAATTCATGACTTTAATGTATTTACAAAGTTGTATGACCAACCATCACAATTCATTTTAGAACATTTTTATCACCCCCATAAAAGAAATCCCACATCTATTTGCAGTCACCCTTCCCCATTCCCCACAACCTCCTGGCTCTAGGAAACCACTTATCTATTTTCTGTATAGATCTGTCTATTCTGGACATTTCATATAACTGGAATAATACAATGTGTGGTCTCTAGTGATTGGTCTCTTTTACTGAGCATAATGTTTTCAAGATTTATCCATGGTATAGTAGGTACCAGAATTTCCAATTTATGGCAATTTATATATTCCATTGTATGTGTGGTAAGCAGTTAGACATGAGCAGAGCATGGACGATAGGCCAGATACAGGAGATCACCAGGGCAGAAAGCTCTGGGTGCCTAGCAAAAAACAATTGTAGAATGGGACCTTACCCCCAGAGCGACCTTTCCTCCCTAGAAATAATATCCAGGCCTCAGTTGTATTTCAGTTCCGGGTCCAGAAAAGCAGCAAAACCAGATCAGTGACCCCATGACTGACCTCAGGACCAGCTGCATTAGATAATGACCCCCTGCTCTGGCGTTGACCAATCAACCAGTGGAGACCTAGACCCTGAAAGGACACACCTGGAAAGCTGCTGAATATTCTATTCAGATCCTCCCCTGGTGCCTCCCCTAAAATACCCACCTTAAACCCTCAGGAGGGAGGATGCTGTGCACTCACCCTCCAGGGAGGCGGACTGCACTTTTCCTCTCTCTCCTGTCCTCTCCCTGGCCACCCAGGCTGGTTACTATTAGCTTCCTCTCTCTCTCAAGCTCCAAGGGTCCTTCCTTTACCTCTGTAACTTGTTTCCTAAGCCCATTTTTTTCTACAAATTATTCTACCTCTGTGATTTTCCAAATAAATGTTCTCTTGAAGTTTGAGTCTTGGCTCTGAATCCTTTCCTAGCCAGAACTCAAATACTGAGGTTGCTAAACCCAGGTCAGGCCTGACACCTGGTGCTGTTCCCGCTACCTACAACATGTGGGTATACCACGTTTTCTTTATCTATTCAGCAACTGATGAAAATGTTGTTGGTTGTCATGCATCTTAGTTTATTTTTTGAATCCACATATTTTATTATTATGATTGTTTTATACATTATACATGTGCTCTGTTTTGCAGGTGGAAACTCAAGTTTTGCCTGAGAAAATATTTCACTTTTATTTTTGAAAACTCTTTGAACTGTTACAGAATTCTAAAATGGCAGTTATTTACTGAAGACATTATTCCACTGTGTTTGGCTTCCATTGTTGCTGCTAAGACCAAAGTTCAAGTTGTGGCCAGGTCTGTAAATGACCTTACGATAAAAACAGTGCTTCTGCGCTCCAGCCATGAAGACAGAAGAGACACAATTCAGAGATGGAAGCTGCTGACAACGCCTCAGCATACCAGCAGACAGCAGCTGTGGGTTGCTGAAGGATGCCCAGGACCAAACCAGAGACGGGCGAACCTGCATAACCACCATTTGTCCACCAACCAGATCTGAAATATCATAGCTGGCATGTACACATAAGGAACTATCTGGCATTGAATTTGGGATTCAAAAGAACTGTTGGCCCAGAAAGGAACTCACTACAGACTGATTCATTTGCCTCTCAGCATAACCATTATGGCTTGTTGCAGTTTAGGTTCTTACAAAGGTATTTCTTGGATCACATGATCTCACACATCATAAATAGACCCAGAGAAAGAGAACCAGCGACCAGACTCTCAAACATCAGAGGGAAAGTAAGGGAGGATGGGGCTAAGGGGAAGAGATCAACCAAAGGACTTGTGTGCATACATATGGGCCTAGCCAGCGGCCATGGACAACGGGGGTTGGGAGACTGGGGCATATCTAGGAAGGGGTTTGGGATGGGAATGGAAGAATAAGGACAATTATGTGAAACCAAAGTAAAAATAAATAAAAATAAATAAAAAACAGTGCTTCTGTTACTTCTTCAGTTTCTTCCTTCATACAGGATTTCTTCTGTTAATTTCTTACTATGTTATTAGCTCTTAAATTATTTTAAGATGACAGTTTTTATCTATAAGTATAGTTTAGTCAGCACTATTTGTTTTCAGCATAAGAGTTGACCCAAAAGAATTGTTTAAGCCCAACACTACTGGAAATGGAAAAAATAAAAATATTTTTGATAAAATTCTTTTATCTCACCACTTACTTTAATTTTAAGTTGATCAAAACTTTAAAGCTGCAGACTTTAATCTGAATAAAAAGTGTCTACTATTTACCTATTGCAAAGTCTGGCTTTCAAAGTTAAACAAATTGGTCATATCACAATTAAACCAAATGGCCACATCACAATTACAGAAGACAGTCTGACTTCATTTTTTAGTACAGATACATATGTTAACATGCATCTTCATGATAAGATACCTCAGTTTGTATGATGAGGTCAGGTACGAGTTTATTCCATTTTCTTACACATTGTTTTAAAAAGATGCAGTTTTAATGACCTGAACTTAATTAACATCATTTATATTTTAGAGTCAACATTGAATATTCCATAGAAAACAGGACTCAAATTTTAGGCAAACAAAGATTGTTTGTGAAAATGGTATTCCTAAATTAAAATAGGATTTAAAGTACAGTTCCATTCCTGAAGGTTTTTAGTTACCATTCTCAGTCTACTCAAATAAAATCAATTCTAATAAAAATAAACCAAGTTCTGTAAATCTCTTCACAAGATGTATTCTTAAAAATAATTCAAATATCAACATTTCTTAATATAATTTTTTTCACTGGAAGAGCAATTATAAATAAACTGGGAATAACAGAAATCATCGATATAGTCAGCAATCTATAAGGCAATTTTCCCCTACAATCTACTTAATGCCTTCTGCTATTTCATGTATTCTATGAAGTGCAGTGATTTTTGGAAAAAAACAACATATTGATGTGAACGCAGTGTGGATCTCTCAACAGTGCACCTCGTATTCTAATCTTTTCTATAGTCCTGTACAATTTCCTAGATTTTGCAATGAGTGATATTAATTCAAGTTGTATGAGGTTTCAAAAACGACTTTAAGGTCTATGTAGAAATGGTAAGCTCATTTACATACTTACTAATACTCAATTTTTTTCATTAAAAATTGTTATTTTTGAGACTTTGTATGCATACATGCATAACCCATGGGCACAGACAATAGGGTGCTGAAGGCCTGGGTTGGGGGGTGTGGGCAGGCTGAGGGGGTCGATGAGGGGGGAAGGGGGACATATGTAATACTTTCAACAATAAAGAATTATTTTTAAAAATTGCTACTTTTGGAATCTGGATGTTTTATTAATGAATTACATTGTGATAGGTTTTTTTTTTTTTTTTTTTTTTTTTTTTGTGTGTGTGTGTGTGTGTGTGTGTATCATTGTTTGACAATAATCTCATGGGTGATGTCACTAAACAAAAATTATTACCAGCCCCACCACTCCACACTATAATATATAAGAAATACAGACTATCACAAAACTTCTAATGCCACATTTCAGCACTTATAAGACAAGACAAGAAGTCCCTGGTGCCATAGCTAAAGAAAGGTTTGCCAGAATAAATGTTTGGAATCATCCATCAGTTTCATAGCCCAGGCCGGAGGGTAAGATTAGAATGGTTGAGAGATATGCCTTTGTTTTGAAAAGCAAAAGGGTAATCGTGAAAGGGAGAGTATAATGGCAAAAGGTACGGCTTTGTAAATTTTCCCCAGGAAAAGATCAATATGGAAGTTGATTATCTGGAAACTGATTTCCATAAAGCTCTCTGTGTCCTTGTCTCCTTAGAAAATCTTTGTGTATCTCTGAGGGTTCTCTTCACTTCTAGAGTTTGATTTATTTCAGTGTGAAGAGTTGGATCCAGACTGCTGCAACAGTTTCCCAACTAGTCCTCCTTCTGTATTCTTGCTTCCCTAGAGTGAATTTTCCACTGACCCTTTAAAAAATGTAAATCATATGTCTGTTTACTTTCTTAGGCTATCCATCACCCTCAGAATAAAAACCCATACATTGCCGAAATCGGTTTGGTTCAGTGGATGGAACGTTGGCCTGTGGACTGAAAGGTCCCAGGTTCGATTCTGGTTAAGGGCATGTAACTTGGTTGCGGGCACATCCCCGGTGGGGGATGTGCAGGAGGCAGCTGATAAATGATTCTCTCTCATCAATGTTTCTAACTCTATCGCTCTCTCTTCCTCTCTATAAAAAATCAATAAAATATTAAAAAAAAAACAAAAAACATTTCCTCTTGGTCTACTTAGCCATGAACTGTCTCCTGTTATCTTCTCCACTCACACCCCATATTTTACTTTTCACTTTCTACCGCTCTCTATTCTACCGCTCTCACTCTATTCTGGTATTCTCACAAGGTCACTGCCAACTTTGAAATAATGGTTTCTTTGGTCTAAAGTGACCATACACCAGGTAACTATTGATTTTCTTACTTCATACAGGTCTCTTCTCAAATTTTACTTCCTTAATCACCCTATATGAAATAGCACTATCCTCTACCACACATTTCTCACTGCCACCTTCCTTGGTTTTCTGCATATTCCAAGTTATTTAAAACTAGAGGGCAGGTGCACAAAATTCATGCACGGAGGGGGGGGGTACTCAGCCTGACCTGTGCCCTCTGGCAGTCCAGGACCCTCTTTTTTTTATTATTTAAATATATTTTATTGATTTTTCACAGAGAAGAAGAGAGAGATAGTTAGAAACATCGATGAAAGAGAACCATCGATCAGCTGCCTCTTGCACACCCCCTACTGGGGATGTGCCCGCAACCAAGGTACATGCCCTTGCCCGGAATCGAACCCGGGACCTTTCAGCACGCAGGCCAATGCTCTATCCACTGAGCCAAACCGGTCCCAGCAGTCCAGGAGCCTCTTGCAGGGAGTGGGCCTAAGCCATCAGTTGGACATCCACAGTGCTGCTGTGGTGGTGGAAGACTCCCACCACCACCACTGTGCTCACCAGCCATGAGCCCAGCTTCTGGCTGAGCAGTGCTCCCCCTGTGGGAGTGCACTGACCACCAGGGGGCAGCTTCTGCATTGAGCATCTGCCCCCTGGTGGTCAGTGCGCATCATAGCGACCAGTCGTGCTGCCATTTGGTCGATTTGCATATTAGCCTTTTATTAAATAGGTTTATATTATTTCATCACTTCCCTCCCCCAAGATAGAATGTAAACTTTATGTAATGAAATCACTTTCTTGAAGTGATACCTGCATCCCCGTGTTCATTGCAACATTATTCAAAATACCCAAGACATGAAACCATATAAGTGTCTATCCACAGATGAATAGATAAGGGAAAAGAAAACATACAATAGAATATTATTCAGCCATAAAAAAGAACAAAATCTTGCTATTTGCATTAACATGGATAAACCTTGAGGGCATTATGTTATGTGAACTAAATCAGAGAAAGACAAAAATTGTGTGATTTCACTTAAATATAAAAACTAAAAAGAAGCCAAACTTATAGAAACAGAGAGTAAATTGGTGATTGCGAGGGGTGGAGGGATGGAGGAAATGGGCAATGCTGGTCAGTGGGTATAAATTTCAGTTATGAAATGAGTAAGTTCTGAGGACCTAATGTGCAGCATGGTCAATATAGTTAATAACACTGTTTTATATACTTCAAAGCTGCCAAGGCAGTAAATCTTAAATGTTCTTACCATCCACATACACACACACACACACACACACACACACACACATACACACACACAATGTTAATCATGTGAAGTGAATGAATTAACCTCATGATTTAAACAGCATTAATGTCTACAAAGTAAGCTTACTAAACTCTATAAACTATAATAAAACTAACTAAAAATGTTTTAATATTCTGTTTGTACAATGCCAGTAATTATAAAACTATGATGAGAAAATTTCTACCTACCTTCTTTGCTTTGGCACTCTAAAATTTGGGGGGAAAAAACAAAAGAATTGGTAAATTCTTTGAAAAATCAAATACTTTTAACAAAAGTGCCCTGACTATGTAACATGCTAAAATTAGGAGGAGCTGGGTAAATAATATAAGGGAAGTCTGTACCATCTTTGCAACTTTTTTGTACACCTAAAATTATCTTAAAATAAAAGTCTTTTAAAAAAACTAGAAGCAAGTCTAGGAAAAACAAATAAAATAGTTCACTTGCTGAAGCATCTTTTATAAGTGAATTTTACACTCTTTCTTAATACAATTGTTCAATGATCTGTGTTTAATCAAATGCCCTATCACTAACCAGAGTACCAGCCAGAAATGCACTAGTTTAAAGGGTTCCAAAGAACAATAAGTCATTGAGTGTTGGTACTAATTCCAGTTTAAAAATGTAGGAATTATTTCATAGAAAAATCTTTCTGTGAAATGATTGTCTATTTTATAAGAAAGAGAATCAGAATTCAGCCACGCGTGGGAATTATTTTGGAAAGCAAAGTTATTTCAATAAATAATTAGAAGTATTTTTTGGTTACACTATTTGTAATTTCCTGATCAGGCCCATGTGTCCATTAGGTTTATGGTAAGGAATTTGTAGGAGATCATGTAACTATAAGATTATAAACTTCCAATATGTGAACACTAACACAGGGCAAATTACTGGTTCAAGCCATAAGGTTATCACTGTATCAAAATATAAATGTTTAAAATGGCACAAAGCAGATTATACATTCTTGAAAAGTGCGCATACTTGTTAATGATTTACGCACAAGACACTCTAAAATGCTGGAGATGATATAAAAGGGAATAGAAGAGAATTTGCTCTCACATAACTTTTACAAATGAGCTCCATTTTTATTATCATATTTGCTATCGACAGTTAACATACTTCCATTCTGAAGTAAGTACTATTTAAATAGCATTGCCCCTGCTCTCAAGTAGCCATCTTTTAAAGATGGGCAAATTGTCACCTCTCACTAGTGCTTTTCCTATGAAGCAGGTTTGGGATAAACACAGAGCCTTCCCTCCCTGCAAATCCTAAGAGCATCAGTCAGTGAGTAGTGCTCCAAGTTCAAGGGCATAAGTACAAAGAATGAACTTTACATTTTCGGATAATTTTTAAATAATGAATTATTACACTTCCACTTCCTCTGATTTCAGTCATAGAAGATGGAAATCATATTTAAGAAAAATGGGGAAAGGTATTTGTAAGAGGTCATACTTTCCTATAAATTTTATCTTACAGTTACGTGATCTCCTACAAATTCCTCACCATAAACCTAATGAGATTAATATCTCATTGCTATATGTTGGCCTCTGTTCTTGAAAAGACAGCTGAGGAGTGTGTGTGGGGGGGGAGGAGGGGAGGGAGGGAAACGAGCAGCTTTATCATCATTAATACATTCAGGGCAGGCTGCGTACCTTGAGTCAAAAATCACTATGTTCACTCGGCTGAGACCATTTTTAAACCATGCAACAGGGTGAGATCTGACCTGTCCGGTGGGTGGGGGTAGGGGGTGGGGGTAGGGAAGACCAGGCCTGTCCCCCCACAGCGGGGGGGGTTCTTTCCTAAAGGCACCTGCTCCCCTCTAAAATAAGGCGGGTTCTTATCCTCATTGAACACCGGGGGAGGAGAACCGGCGCTCGCCCCTTCTCCAGGTTCCCCCACGTCCCCGGCTCACCATGCTGAGGGAAGCGCGACCTCGGGGGTCTGTCTGCAGGAGGCGAAGCTGAGCTGTGTGGACTGAACGCTCCTGGGTCGTCAAGACGACAGGCCCCGCCCACTGACGCCCCAGGAAAACAGCGCTTTCCGCGCAGCCGCGCTGGGTCCTTCCGGGCGGCGCCCCGCCCCCTCGCTGACAGCTCGCCGCGCCGCCTCCGTGCCGCGCGGGTGACAGGCGGCGGAGTGGGAGCCGTGTGGAGCGTTCCGGCGGCGGCGCGCGGGGAAAGTGCGTGAGTGCAGCGCCCGGGTGCTCCCTTCTGCGTGGCGGACCCTGGGGTCTGGAGGCGGCGAAGTTACGCTCGGGGCGAGGATGTCCTCGGGGTGTGTGTCCTGGAGCTTCTGCCTTTGCGAGTCTCTTTCTCTCCCTCCCCCGGCGCGTCCTTTCCCTGGAGTGTGTTGGGCGAATTTGTGTGCCCAGGCCGGCTGCTGCCCCGCTACCCGGGTCCCCACAGCGTAGGCCAGCCGGGAGCCGGCTATTTAGATAAGAGGTAGATTGCCCGCCCAGTGGCTTGGTTTATTTTTAAATGAACGACCTTTGGATTCTTCTCCCTGCACCTGGTTCTGTGTATTCCCCTTGCAAGGTAGGTGTCTTTTTTTTTTTTTTTTTTTTAAGAGCCGCTGTAAACAAAGAACTGGGAAGGATTTGAAACAATTACTGGGAAAAGTTATCGCTTAAGGAGGAAGGTCGCTGAAGCCCTGCCAGGGTCAAGTTATTTGCCCAAGGTCAGAAGTTGTGATAACCACTAGCACAACCTTCAGAGTGTGACTCCTCCCCCAGTGAAGGAACACTGACAACTCAGACCCACAGAAAATGACAATTGAGTGATTTAAGAAACGAAGTGGCTTCCGAAGCCTAACTGAATTTTTAGAACCAAAAACAAACAAACAAACAAAAAAAAACCACCCTGTTTTAGCATAACAGGACATGAAATACTTTCAAATTGTTGACACCATTTCTCATCTTTGAATTCTAATTTTATAATGTTCCAACAGCATTGATTAACTGTATTAATAAATATTACTTACTGAGCTAGTCGTTGTGGGTGACGGCGTTATTGTCACCATTTGTAAGAGAAAAAAAAAAAAACAAGATTGTGGGCTAGTTGAGGTCCACCTCCAAATTCCCGGTAGTAAGATAAACGTATAAACTTCATCTACTTCTGAAGCCATTTGGAATGGAAGTCGGCATTCGTTTTAAATTGTTTTTCAACCAAACTACTTTTTATGATACAAAACTTCAGTCCACTCAACTAGGACCGATTGGGGAAAGGAGGTGATAATTCCAAATTACCTTACACATGGTGGGCCTCCGGGGAGAGGACTTGCTCAAACTCTCAGTCTTACCAACCTCCCCCGCCCTTGGCATTGCTATGGATGTGGCAGAACAGGCAGTCTGGACTGTGTCGTAAGTCACCGGGCGCTGTAAGAGATTGTGCCAGGGGGCTTGGTTCTCCTCTAGTACTTCTCTTGCAAGCTGCGTGAGAGTAAGGAAGTGTTCCTCTTTCCTTCAGACAGGTGTCATACCTACCCGTTCTGAACACGCATAAGCGTCTCCTTTCAGCTCACTCATATCATCTGGCTTCTAGGTGGGACTAGACCAAGCTGTATGCCAGCCTTTGGGAGCAACGTCTCTTGCCACCCACCTCCCTGACTACATATCCTTCAGTGCTGGCAAGTTGTGTTGGAATACATTTTTGTGGGAAGCTTTTTAGGCGTAACTACCTTGGGGATATGTGCTTCGTCTATTTGAGTCAAGTCTACCAGATCCCAATCAATAATAGTGTATTGCCCTTCTTTGCCAGTTTTCTTTCCGCTCTTATTGCCATCTGAACTGTATGAGGAGGAGTGATTAACAACAGCTTTGAATGCCATAATCCCTAGCAAAATGACAATCCTTGCTTAACCCTGGACTGGAGTTGATTATATCTTAGCTTTTTAGCCCAGGCACTAGAAAGGCTGTCAGTGGGGATTGTTACCCTCAGCCTTTGTCTACTACTCATAGCTCATTCTCAGAATGAAGGGGGGTTTCTTCTTTCCATCCCTAACTCATCTGGCTGTTTACAAAGAACAGAAGCCGCCATAACTTGATGCAAGGTTAAGGAGCAGTCCCAGGCCCCTGCTGCACTTAAATGGTGCACCAGTTGCAAACCCAGGGAAACCGATTGTTCCCAAAGACACCTAAATGCCTGAACGTCAGGGTACAATACTAAAGATACACACTGCCTTAATCTGTTTAAATTAACATTTGCACAGACTGAGGAAAATTTACCTTAGTTATATCGCTCAGCGCCATGAGCGGGTGTAAGCAGAGGCTGCTAGCCCTGATTGCCCCTAAGGGCTTCTCCACCTCCTCCTGCTCCTGAGGGGCGGTCAGAGCAGCAGCCACCACTTATACCCACTGATGGCGCTGGCCCCGCTTGCACCCACTGCTGGCTCCGGCCCCAATCCCTCTGCTGTCAGTGGGTGCGAGCAGGGCTGGTGTGTGAAAGTGGTGGCAGCAGGAACAGGGCTGTTGTTAGACAGGGGACCAGAGACCATGGCTCACAGTTCCTTTCAAGGTACACAAATTCATGCACTGGGCCCCTAGTGAAATAAGGGCATCTTTAGGACAAGTGCCAGAACATGAAGGGGTTGTTGATCGAACTGGAGTAATGTAGCAGTGTTAACTTCCTGATGCTGATCATATTGTTCAGTAGGAAATGTCATTGTTCATGGACAATACACGCTAAAGCTGTGCTGTCCAGTGTGATAGCAACTAAGTCCTGGGTACCTGTAAGCCCTTAAAATATAGCTAGTGTGACAAATTAAAATAACATTTTAAACATAAAAAGTATTATTAAATGATTTTATTTTATAATATGTACTACTAAAAATGTAAAATTATATAAGTGCCTCTTATATTTCTATTAGATGGCTATGCAAAGTATTCAGGCTGATGGGATAGCATGTTAGTAACTTCTCAAATAGTTCAGGAAAACATATTAGTATGTTGCAACTTTCCTGCAAGTGAAATCATCTCTCTCTCTCTCTCTCTCTCTCTCTCTCTCTCTCTCTCTCTATATATATATATATATATATATATATATATAAAAGCCAGTGATCAGAATGGTGTAATGACCAGAACGACCAGTCGCTGTGACGCCTACGGGGCCAGCGAACCAGCAGATCTGGGGGTGAGGCTGGCCAGCCAAACCCCCCTTGTCCCTCCCCCTGCCGGCCCCACTCCTATCGCCCCCCATCCCAATAGGTGGGATCTGCCAGCCAACCTCCTACAGCTCTTCCCCCTACCCGTTCCTGTCCCTGATGGGCTCCCACAGCCCCTTCCCCCAGCCAGCTCTGCTCCCGATCGGCAACCCCAGTCCAATCAGGGGCAGGGTTGGCTGGCTATCCACTATGGCCCCTCCCTCTGGCGGCTGGCCCACTGCCCACAGCCCCTCCCCATGGCTGGCCCTGCCCCCAATCAGCCCCTCACACATCTATCAGGGGCAGGGCCCATTGGCCAACCTCCTGTCGTCTCCTTCTCCCGACAGGCCCAGTCCCAATCCACCAATTGGGGCTGGGCTGGCTGGACCCCAGCTGTGCACAAATTCATGTACTGGGCCTCTAATCCTATCTAATAAAGAGGGAATATGCAAATTGATGTCATACCATAACAAAGATGGCTGTGCCCACAGCAGAGGCAGGGATCCTATAACACAAGATAATTTTACCCACTGCGGAGGCCAGGTTTCCGTAACGAGCCTTAATAAGCAATCGGCAGGGACCTGAGGCTGTGTGGCACTAGCCCAGGGCAGGGAACACTCTACCTGGTGGGGCTTGACAGGGGACCTCAGGCCGAGACCCCAGCCTGCAGGGCTTGATGGGGTACTTCAGGCTGCACTTTCTGGTCCAGGTCAAGAGACCTTAAGGCGCAGCCCCCAGGCCAGGTCCAGGGCCAGGACACCTTAGGCCATACTTCCTTCCCGGCGCCAGGCCAGGCAACCTGAGGCCGCAACCCCCACCTGGGAGACCTGAGGCTGTGTGGCACTGGGCTGGGGCCGGCCGGGTCTGGGCCTTGCGCAATTTTGAGGCACATGTGGGTGGCCAACGACTTGACTCTGGTTCCTGTGGCATGCCCCAGACTCTAACAGAAGGAAAATTTTCATATACATTTTACTAATTTTCTTTCATCTCTGACACTTCTATTATAAAAAAAAAAAAGAGCAAACAGCAATATTAAATTATTTCCTCTAATCCCCTTTTAATGTGCACGAATTTCGTGTACTGGGTCACTAGGTTATAATAAAAGCATAATATGCTAATTAGACCAAATGTCCTTCTGGACAAAGCCCAGGTTCTGGGCGCCTGCCAGTGGCCGGAGGGAAGTCCAGGTCCCTGGTGCCTGCTGGTGGCCAGTGGGAAGCCAGTGCCAGCAGCCGGGGTAAAAAAGGCCTACTTTTGCATGGATTTCATGCATCGGGCCTCTAGTTTCGTATAACCTATCCTTTTTTTAAAATATATTTTATTGATTTTGTACAGAGAGGAAGGGAGAGAGTTAGAAACATCGATGAGAGTCATCGATCAGCTGCCTCTTGCACACCCCCTACTGGGGATATGCCCACAACCAAGGTACATGCCCTTGACCGGAATCGAACTCGGGACCCTTCAGTCCCCAAGCTGAGGCTCTATCCATTGAGCCAAATCAATCTCGGCTAACCTATCCTTTTTGATATTGCCTGCTCATGTAACCCCTTATGGGTTGTTCACTTGGCCTCTTTACCACCAATCTTATTGCCCATCTACCATTAATTGTGAGCCTGCTAGACTCACACAGCAAGTTTCTTCTACATTTTAGCCTTCCTTGGGATAGCACCCTTCTAGATTTGACCAGGTCTCTTCTCAATGTCCTCCATATCTGGCCTTGCAGGAAAAAAAAAAACAATCTTCCTTTTGATGACAAGGAAATTGAGGCTCAGAAAGGTT